GTATGTAAAACAAGTACTGATGGACATTGAGGGAGAGACTGACAGTAACACAGTCCTGGTCAGGGATGTTAACACCCCAGTGACAAGCATGGATCGGGTTTCCAGACAGAAAATCAACAAGGAAATGACACACTAGATCAGATGGATTTTAATTTCACCTCAATAATAACTTTAAATGTCGATAGTTTAAATGCGCCAATCAAAATACAGAGCAGCTGAATGGATACAAAAACAAGACCTACATATATACTCTCTTCAAGTGATCCCCTCAGAAAGACAAACACGGACTAAAAGGGACAGGAAAAGATATTTAATGCATATGGAACCAAACAAAACAAAAGCTGGGGAAGCAATGCTTATTAGACAAAATTGACTTTAAAACAAAGGCTTTACAATAAGAGACAAAGACGGGCATTACATAATGATAAATGGATTGATCTAACAAGAGGATATAACCCTTGTAAACATTTTTGCACCCAACATAGGAGCACCTAAATATGTAAAGCAAATCTTGATGGACATAAAAGGAGAGACTGACAGTAATACAGACATACGAGGGGATTTTAACACCCCATTGACATCAGTGAATAGATCTTCCAGACAGAAAATTAGTAAGAAAAAAGAAGCCTTAAATGACACATTAGATCAGATGGATTTAATTGATATTTTCAGAGCATTTCACCCCAAAGCAGCATAATATACATTCTTTTCAAGTGTAAATGGAATATTTTCTAAGCTAGAGCACATGTTAGGACACAAAATGAGTCTGAGTAAATTTAAGAAGACTGGAATTATATCGTGCATCTTCTCTGACCACAACGGTATGAAACTGAAAATCAATTACAAGGAAAAAAAACTGGAAAACACACAAACTCATGGAGGCTAAATAATGTGTTACTAAACAATGAATGGGTTAACAATGAGATCAAAGAAGAAATCAAAATATACCTGAGACAAATGAAAATGAAAACACAAAAACCTGAAATCTATGGAATACAGCCAAAGCAGCCCTAAGAGGGAATACACAGCAATATAGGCCTACCTCAAGGAACAAAATCTCAAATACACAATCTAAACTTACACTTAAAGGAACTAGAAAAAGAACAACAAAGCCCAAAGTGAGTAAAAGGAAGGAAATAATAAGACCAGAGTGAGTAAAAGGAAGGAAATAATAAGACCAGAGTGAAAATAAAATAGTCTAAAAAATAATACCAAAAAAAAAAAAAATCAGTGAAAACAAGAACTGGTTCTTTGAAAAGATAAGGTTGACAAATCTTTAACCAGACTCATCAAGAAAGAGGTTCAAAAAAATAAAATCAGAAGTGAAAGAGAAGTAACAACTGACACCAAAGAAATACAAAGGATAAGGTTACAAACAAATGTGTGCCAACAAATTGGACAATCTGAAACAAATGAATAAAATCCTAGAAACACACAATCTTCTAAAACTGAATCAGGAAGAACCAAAATCTAATAGACTGGTTGCAGCTAACAAAATTGAAAGAGTAATAAAAAAACCTCCTAATAAACAAAAGTCCTGGACGGGATGGCTTTAGAGGAAAATTTTACCATACATTCAAAGAGAACTAACAACTGCCCTTCTCAAACGATTCCAAAAAACTCAAGAGGAGGAAAGGCTCCCAAGCTGATTTTATGAGACCAGCATTATCGTAACACCAGATAAAGACACAATGAGGAAAAAAAGTTATAGGCCAGTATCCCTGATTAACATAGATATAAAAATCCTCAACAAAATATTAACAATCTTTAATTCTTAATTAAACAGTACATTTAATTAACAATACAATACATTGAATTAAGCAGTATATTAAAAATATCATATGCCATGATCACGTGTGATTTATTCTGGGATGCAAAGTTGGTACAATATCCACAAATAAATTGACATTATATACCACATAAACAAAATGAAGGATAAAAACCATATCAGTAGTTACAGAAAAAGTATTTCATAAAATCCAGCACCCATTTAGCTCTCAGCTCTCAGCATTTGTAAAGCTCTCAGCAAAGTAACAATAGAGGAAACATAATAAAGACCATTTGACAAAATCACAGCCAACATCATACCTAAAAGGGGAAAACAAAGAGTTTCTCTTAAGATTGGAAACAAGACAGGGATGTCTGCTTTCACCTCTCTTACTCAACCTAGTACTGGAAGTCCTAGCCACAGCAATCAGATAAGAAATAAAAGGAATCCAAACTGGAAAAGAAGAAGTAAAGCTGTAATTATTTGCAAACCACATGATACAGTATGTAGAGAACCCTAAAGATTCCACCAAAAACCAATTAGAATAAATCAGTTCAGTAAAGTAGCAGAATGCAAAATAAAAATCCAGAAATCAGTTGCATTTTATACACCAATAATGAATTATCAGAAAGGGAAACTAAGAAAACAGTCTCATTTACAACTGCATAAAAAATAGCTAGGGGTAATTTTAACCAAGGATATAAAAGACCTGTACTTGGGAATTATAAGACACTGAAGAAATTAAAGAAGATGCAAATAAGTGGTAGCATGTACTGTGCTCATGGATAGGGATAACTTACATCATTAAGATACCCCAACTACTGCAAGCAATCTATAGATTCAATGCAATCCTTAGCAAAATACGAAGGCTTTTTCAGAGAACTAGAGAAAATATTCCAAAAATTTATATGGAACCACAAAAGACCTCCAAAAAGCCCAAGCAATCTTGAGAAAGAAAAAATTTGGAGGTATCACACTACCTGATGTTAATCTATAATACAAGGATATAGTAATCAAAACAGTATGATATTGGCATAAAAACAGACACATAGATCAATGGAACAAAATAGAGAGCCCAGAAATAAACCCACATCTATATGGGCCATTAATGTTTGACAAAGGAGGCAAGGACATACGGTGGGGTAAAGACAGTCTATTCAATAAATGGTGTTGGGAAAAATCGGGACAGATATGTGCAGAAAAAAAAAATGAGACTAGATCACCTTCTGATACCATATACAAGAATATACTCCAAATGGATTAAAGACTTAAGTGTTAAACTCAAGGCCATAAATCTTCTAGGAAAAAAAAAAAGACGACAGGCAGTAAAATCTGTGACATTTCTTGTAGCAATATTTTCTCTGATATCCCTCCTCAGGCAAGAGAAACAAAAGAAAAAATAAAATGGGACTATATCAAACTAAAAAGCTTATGCATTGCAAAGGAAACCATTAACAAAGACAGACAACCTACTGAATAGGAGAACATATATGTCAATGATACATCCTATAATGGTTAATATCCAAAATTTATAAACTCAAGACAACTACACATACACACACACACACGAAAGAAAGAAAGAGAGAAGGAAAGAAAAAAAAAGAAAAAGAAAAAGAAAAAAATCCAATTAAAAAATGGGCACAGGACCAGAATAGACACTTCTCCAAAGAGGACCTGCAGATGGCCAGCAGACATATGAAAAGATGCTCAATGTCACTCACAGAAATGCAAGTTAAAACCACAATGAGATATCACCTCACACCTGTTAGAATGGCTCTCATCAATAAATTCACAAATAATAAGTACAGGATTGTCTAGTCACTATGTTGTATACATGAAACTAATACAAAATATTGAATGTAAGCTGTAATTGAAAAATTACAAAAATAAAATAAGTGAACAAACAAAAGAAAAACAAACTGAGATACAGATAAGAAACTGATGGTTGCCAAATGAGAGAGGGGTCAGGAGGGTGGGTGAAAAAAGTAAAGGGATTAAGGGGTGAAAAAAGTAAAGGGATTAAGAAGTACAAACTATGATCTCATTTATATGTGCAATCTAATGAATGAAATAAACTGACAAAATAGAAACAGAGACACGGATACATGGAACAGACTGACAGACCTCAGGGAGCGGGTGGGGGGAGGGGAAGAGATTAGCCAAAGAACATATATGTGTGGCCCACAGACACAGACAACAAGTGGTGAAAGCCAGGGTGGGGGCTGGGGTGGTGGTGGAGAGGGGCAAAGGCGGGGGGAGGGGAGGGGAGGGGAGCCTCTGTAACAGTGTCAACAAACCAGATAAAAATAAAAGTGCACACTGCCAGTTATAAAAGCAGTCGTGGGGATGCAAAGTACAGCATAGGGAATATAGTCAATTACACTGTAATAACCATGTATGGTGTCAGACAGGTACTAGACTTACTGGGGCGAACACTTTTTAAGTTATATAAATGTCTAATCGCTATGTTGTATGCCTGAAACTAATATAACTATGTCACCTGTAATTGGAAAAACAAAGAATTGTACATGTTGTATTTTAAGAGACGATACAAAAGGAAATTGTCATCAATTCAAATTACTCCTAAGAATAAAGGCTTACTGAATTCCAAGGAAAACCAGCTAAGTTTTTTTTTAAAGATGTTAAATGTCTTCAAAGTTTTAATAAATTTATACAATTTATTGAAGTCAGAAATATAAATTCTTAATATTAACTCTAGAAACCCAAGAAGTCCCAGGAATTCAATTTCAAAGGCTTTAGAAAGAATTCCTTGTAAAAGATGTTAATATTACATTCTTTGTTAGACTGGCACTTGGAGCGCTTCTGATACCATTTCACCTTTCACCCCGACCCATTGCCTTGAAAAATTAGTCAGCAGTAGCACATGAAACTGTGGACAGACGAGAGTCTCATATTCATATTTATCTAAGTGTAGCAAATAGCACCAGGTTTCCCATTTAATGAAATGCAATTTCTTTTACAATTCTTTGGAGCAATAAGCCTTTAGATTCCAATTTTCCGCAGTCAGAGAGGAGCCACTCAAGTGTCATTGTCCCAACACCTTTTAGTGTTTCTTAGGAGTTAAAATATGGGCTGAATCATCACCACAGGACTCCTTATAGAAATGCAGGTGAAAGTGTCTCAGAAGGGTCTTTGTTCTGTTCTTTCACATCTCAAATTCAGTTGGCTGGTCATAGTTAGGCAGGTGGAAATGGGTTAAAAATGTTGGAACTCATAATGGTTTTGTCCACAAATAGGTTAAGATTGTTGCTGTGAAGCATGACAGAAGCACCCGGACCAGCGGTGTGCTCCAAGGACATATCAGCGTGGGTGTGAAGATGTGACAAAAGCCATCCTACAAGGGGGAGAAGGGAAGAATTAGATTGTTCAAAATCTGAACTCAATAAAATACACAGGAGGTTTGAGATGACTCCTGGATTTAAGAAGTAAAAAAAAGGAGATACTTACCAATAGGTAACCCATGATTAGGAACTTCTGATGAGTAGGATTTGTAAGATGTGGTCCAATAAGGGGGATAGAAAAGAACATAGGGGAGGGACACTTCAGCTTGTCACTTAGAGAAGGAATACTCTCCTTTTGACTCCTTTCAAAATTCAAGAGGAAGAGAGAATATTACGGACATACCGCGTTTTATTAGGCTTCACAGGTGTTGCTTTTTTTTTTTTTTTTTTTTTTTTAAACACAAATTGAAGGCAAGACCCTTCTCTGTAAAAGTATTATGCTCACTTTCTTGCGGTAGTCTGGAACTGAACGGACAAGATTTGCGAGGTAGGCCTGTATATTATGTTCTTTCCTGAGCAGAGGAGAGATGCCATTTGGGAAACTGTCAAATTGCTAGGTTGCAAGTTATCACCTGTGACAATACAGCAAACAGCTCCATTCAGAAAAATGGAGAGGAAGGGAACTGAAGTCCAGACTCCAGCATTTTAAGTGCATCTGGGAGAATGGTGGGCATGTTCTATTTATTCAGTTGGAGAATTTTGGCTTCTGCATGTAAAAAGGTTAGTCCTTTGCCAATGCTGATTAGCTAAAAGAACAAAAAACAATGCCCCCCCCCCCCAATTAATTTCTTCTTTGAGTACATAGGGGCCAAATGCCTTAAGACAAATAGTTCAGGTGGAGTGCTTAGCGTTCACAGGCACGGAGAGTTGAAGACTAATGCGCACACAACAAAGAACGGAAGAGTTAATGCTTAACACCTCGAAATGTTTATAGGACCTCACAGTTCTGATTCAGATACTACTTTTCCTCCACGAATGGAACCCAACTGATCACCACAGGTCTAACACAACACTGCCAACAGAAGGTTAAATTTCCTAGTGCCTTCCCTAGTTTTCTGGGGTTTTTTTTAAGTGGCTGGTTTTAATAGTTTGGCTGTATTTGTTCTATAGTCTGGGTCCCTTCAGTCGTTGATACAACTCTGGGTAGGAAGAGAGGAAAGAGACAGGATCTAGTTCAGAACCCAAAGAAGCATGCTACCTTCTAACTGAAGCGGGGTGGTGGGGGCGGGGGGCGCGCTTTACTCAGCCCTTTGCTCCGTTTAGGAGCCGAAGGCAGAGTGCCTGCCCCTCTAGCCTAAACCTCAGAGACGAAACGGCATACAGCTGAAAGCCAGGGAGCTTGGATATCAGCAGAGGGCGCCACAGGGGATTCGAAGTTAAGGAATTTTGAGTCAGCACCACCACTGGATCTTGGTGCACAGTCACCAACACCTGTGGCCTTGGCTCTTCCTGAGAGGTGTGAGGGTGGGAGAAGGGGGTGGTTTTTCATTATAACGTTTCAGGCTGGTGCTCTACAGCCTGCAGAACTGTGGGGTAATGAATGTGAGTGTCTCCAAAGGTGCGCTTAACAGGAAGAGGAGAAAGAATCCACTCGGCCTGGACCACCCCACAGCTAACTTACAGCCTGGGATCTCTATAAGACCAAAGCATCCACACCTAACGTGGGCGCATCCTAAAACCCGGAGGGCGAGCAAGGGCAAGGCCAAGGCCAAAGTAGGCAAACCCAAGCCGTGCGCAGCTGCTTCTAAATGGGTTAGCAAGAGAGCCGCCTGCAAAGGGCGGTTTCTGCCAGCTTGACTCCACCAAGAGAGGAGAGCGCCGGAATTCACACCGAACGTCCCAGTGCTGCTGAAACGAACGCCCCAACTAGCTGACGCCGCTGGGTCGCCAGCCACGTGGGAACATCCCAGGCTGACTTCCCCGCCCGGGTCCGGAGTCCCGCGCCCCGCTCACCCAGCCACCGTGCGCCTCCAGCCAGGTGCGGTTCTCCACTGTGAGCCAATCACACAGTAAGGCCACCAGCTTCTGGCAGTCCCGGCCAACGTCGGCCTCCCATGTCTTCAGTTCCCACGCGTGGCGTGCCGGCGGTGTCTCCAGCAAGATCCCCGCGAAACTCACGAGCGCCACCACGTGGCCCCAGCTGGGTATTCCGCGACCTCGGACTACCCGCTGTGCCAGGTTCGCCACCAGCCCGAGGCGGTTTCCCCGATATCCGCGGTAATGGGACCAAAAGTGGTGGTAACGCTGCCGTACCCGGGCAGCCACGGAGCGCAGCACGGCGGCCTCAGGCGTGGACGGCCGCCGCGCGGCGGTGCCTGGCATTCGGGCGCAGCTTTCCAGGTAGTCGGCCAGCAGCTGCACGGTGCGCAGCCTCAACTCGTCCTCCATAGCTCGGCCTCTGCCGTGGGTCCTGGCTTGGGTCCGCTTTTCAGGCCCGCTAGGCCCTCCGCCCGGGGAGGGGCTACCCGGCCCCGCCCCGCCCAGGCAGGAGCTTTTTCTAGGTCGGGAGGGAACCTTTAATGGGAATCCCAACAGCACCTGTGCACGTGCTAAAACCGAGGCTCAGCCTTGTGGACGTATTCACGTAGAAATCAGCAGGCAGCAGAGTGAGGCTCTTCCGAGGCTATTGTTAGCTCTCGGCCTAGGGCCTAAGAACCTGCAGGGGACAGTCTGGGAAGTTGGGCTAGACATTTACCTTCTATTAAGGAGAGGTTGACAAAGGCTACTTACAGCCTTTAGTGGCGGCTCACTTTGCGAGGATGATCAGCATCTTTCAATTGTGTGTGGGAGATACTCTTTTTGGGTCTAGCATATGTCGCAGGATAATTCTCTGTGGGCTGCTAGAATGCCAGTATTTTTTAAAATTTAATTTTAATTTATTTTTTCAAATACATTTGTCTCTGCCAACTCCCCACCACTTTCCCTTGCCCCCTCCCTCCGTCCCTCCGTCCCTCCGTCCCTCCCTCAGCTCTTCCCCTTTGGTTTTGTCCATGAGTCCTTGCTATATGTTCCTTGACTTTCCCCTTCCCTTCCTTGTCCCCGCCCCCCTCCCTTCTTCCCTCTTGTTCTGTTCATTTCTTTTCCTTCCAGTGTTGCTGGTCTTATTTTCCTTGCATCTTTGCATTGTTGGTTAGGTTCCACTTATAGGTGAGATCATATGGTATTTGTCTTTCACCCCCTGGCTTATTTCACTTAGCATAATGCTCTCCAGTTCCATCCATGCTGTCGCAAAGTTTAGTAGTTCTTTTTTTCTTTCTGCTGCGTAGTATTCCATTGTGTATATGTACCATAATTTTTTGATCCAATCATCTACTGATGGGCATAGAATGCCAGTATTGACTGCATTCATTCATTCACTCATTTATTAAGAGCCCTTGGTTGGGGGGGGCGGCTCTTCGCACTGGAGATATAATGGAGAAGCAAGACATGTGGTTCCTGCTTTCAAGGGCCCTACAGTCTAGTGATGGGAGAAAGAACAGGCCATCACAGAGTTTAATTGTTGCTATAATAGGAGAAGCTGAGGGTATCTTCAACTCTAGGTTAATGGCTGCTTCTGATTGCTACCATTCTTATATTGCTTAGAGTTTTCTTTATTTTTTAGTGGCCAATCCTTCATTACTCCAAATCCCCTCTTATTGTTAATATTTCTAGTTTTAATCCTTGTCTGTTCACATTACTCTTTGGCTTATATCACCTAACCAGACACAGCCTGAAACAGAAGTGGTACCAGCAGTGAAATTTCTGCTGGGGTCCAGTGGTCCAAGCATGTTGAAATACCCTGCCTAGGGTGAAAGATGAGTCGCTGCATCTTGTATCATCTACAAGAATAAAGAGGCACAACGCTTGGTAGGTCATTTTGGATCTTGGAGGCAACAGGCGCTACGTTCAAGTGTGTGACTCAACCCATCTAGGCTGGTGGTTTGGGAGCTGCACAAGGGGAGGCTCTGCAGAACATTCAGGCTGCAATACAAACTGCTCTACCACTTTGGTCTTATGACCCAACACATCCAGTGATACCTGAAGTGTCAAATAGAGGTGCTGTGTGGAGCCTCTGGCAAACACCAACAGAATTACAGTGTAAACCTTTAGGATTTAGAAGCAAATCTATCTTCTGCAGATAACTATTCTCCCTTTGAAAAGCTTGCTCCTGGGCCTTGGTAGAGGCTGAATGCGTAACTAAGGGGCATCAAGTGACTATGCACCTTGAGTTGCCATCATGATGTGGATGTTGTCGGACCTACCTAGTCATAAGGTTGGGCGTGCACAGCAGCAATCTGTCATCAAAGGGAAATGGTATGTAAGAGACTGAACTCAGTCGAGTCCATTCGGTACAATCAACGGCATGAGCAGGTTGCTTTGCCTCCTCCCCCGTTCCACACTATGGCCTCCAGGGCATTGCTTCTGAGCAGGTGACTGAGGGGAAAAAACCTTACATCTGGATTACAGATGGCTCTATATGATGTGCTGGTACCACATGAAAGTGGACAGCTGTAACAGTACAGTGCCACTCAGGAGTGACTGTGGACATAGAGGTGGAGGAAAGTCCTCCCAGTGGGCTGATATTCAAGCCAGATGTGATTGTCCACTATGTCTGGGGTGAGAGGTCGCCAGAGTACTGACCTACATAGATTTATGGGCAGTCACTGGTGGTTTGGCTGGATAGTCAGGGCCTTGAGAGAAACAAGATCGGAAGACTGGTGACAAGGAAATATTAGAGAGAGGTATGTGTCTAGACCCCTCTGAATGGGCACAGGCTGAAGATATTTGTGCCCAATGTGAATGCCCCCAAAGAGAACTCACTACAGAGGAGGCAGAACTCTGTGCCCTGTGGACATTAGACAGCTTCTTTACCCAGCCGCCGTAGCGCTAGCTTATGGGCCATGAATGAGGGGGCCGGGGCAGTAGGGGAAGAGGATGTGGCAACCATGGAATTCTCTCTACAAAGGCTGAGAGCATGACGTGCCAATGCCAGTGCTTCACAGCGAGCCAAATGAATTTTGTCAGAAGGGAATATAAATTTCTGTGCATCAAATTCCCACTTGAATTGGTTTGACATCTATGGGTTCCCTCGTTAATTGAGTTAAATAAATATTTTTACATATGTTCATGTTTTATTTTCAAGAGTCATGATTTTACCTTTTTAAGCATTGTATCTTAGTGGCAAGTACAGAATAGCAGCTTGGGGGTGAGTGACAAATCCTCTGGCCCTGCCATTGATAACTCTTAATTATCAGTTGAACTAAGCAACAAATGAGTAAATTAACCTTCACGCAGAGTTTCTCCCATCCAAGTACTAACCAGGTTGGACCCTGCTTAGCTTCTGAGATCAGATGAGATCAGGCGCATTCAGGGCGTGTCCATGGTTCTAGACTCCACACAGAGTTTCTGATGCACATGATACAAGGAGGCAGTTTGCAGACAGATTTGATGGAAATCCTGGCTCTGCCATTTAGAAGCTGTGCAACCACGAGTAACTTATGCTACTCTCCTAGCCTCGATTTCCTCACTTATAAATGGAGGTAAAAAACTGCATCTTGAGTCTGCTACAAGGGCTACATGAGTCGGTGTATGCAAAGTGCTTAGCACTGTGCCTAGAACATAGTAAAAGCTCTTCACGGAGAAGCTTTTATTAGCAGTAAGAACTAACCAGGGTTACCACGTTCACTTGACCCACTTTTAACCAAAAACAAAAGTGTGACATTTGGTGAGCCTTACCTGTATGGTTTTTTTTTTTTTTTTTAATACTTAAAAGAGCCAGAGACTGCCTGCCTATTTTTTATATCATATTTATATAAAATATATATTTTAACAGCTTTATTATAATTCACATACCATAAAATTCACCTTTAAAAGTATAGCATTCAGCGGCTTTAGTCTAGTCGCAGGGCTGTTTGACCATCACCACTGTTTCCGTGACCTCAGAGGGAACACCCAGGCCATTCGCAGCCCTCCCCATTTGTCCTGCTCCCAGCCCTAAGTCGCCACTAATCTGCTCCTTATGGGTTTGCATGGAGTCATACACTATGTGGCCCCTTTGTGTCTGGCTTCTTTCACTTAATATAATGTTTTCAAGGTTCATCCATGTTGTAAAATGTCAGTACTTCATTTCTTTTTATTGCCAAATAATATTCCATTGCATGGATATATTAATACCATGTTTTTGTTCATCTCTCCAACAGTTGTTGAACATCTGGGTTGTTCCGTCCTGGACTGTTTATGAACATTGGTGTTCAAGTTTCTGTGTGGAAGAGAAGTTTTCATTTCTCTTGGGTATAGACCTAGGAGGAGGAGGAGGAGGCCACCTGTCAGTGGGGGACACAGATGAAAACAGTGACCTCTGCTTCGTTTCCTGATATATGACAAAGTTAAGTGGTGTGTTGATTAGATAACCTTGGGTTCAAATATAGGCATTTCCTGTTGTCAGCTTTCAAACAAATGCTCATACCATACTTACATTTAGTTGTTCATATTTATTTAGGTCTTTAAATAATCCAGAGCTTCATTCCTGATCCCTTCTCCTCACTGGAGGGTCTGCATCATTTTCACAAAGACAAAAACATTTATTTCACTTCTTTCATCAGAAATGGCCAAGCCCTGGCTGGTGTGGCTCAGTGGATTGAGCCCCCTCCTGCAGACCAAAGGGTCGCAGGTTTGATTCCCAGTCAGGACACATACCTTGGTTGCAGGCCAGGCCCCCAGTAGGGGGTGCATGAAAGGCTACTGATCGATGTTTCTCTCCCTCTTTATCCTTCCCTTCCCCTTTCTCAAAAATTAAGTAAAATTTTTAAAAATAATAAAGCAGAAATGGCCAAGAGTCAGCGTGGTGTGGAGAATGACCAGTCTTAGGGGACACCCTAGCTCTAGCTAGGCCCTGCCTAGAGAATGAGGGGGTCTGCGCTATGTCTTGAAAAGTGACCTGATTCTCTCCTATCAAAAGGGAGACGGTTCAGCCTCACATTCTCACAAAGGACCCTCGGAGATCAGATTCACTGAGAGCTTTCCTCCAGTTGTCTGGCCCACTTCAGTCCCGCCCAGCCCAGAGCTCCAGGGCAGGGGCCTTAAGGGTCTGTATCTTTAACTTGTTGTTGACCCAGCAGCCACGTTTGGGAAAGGCAGAGCTAAAAACCCCTGCTCAGTCAGCTCTCCTGGGCTTGGGGGAAAGCCAGCTGATGGGATGTGGTCCCAACCCCAACCTGTTAATCTTCTAACCTATCAGCTGGGCTTACTCCAGCATCTCAAATGTCCTCCTTTGAAAAAGATATTCAGGGCTTCACAGGCCTCAGCTGGTCTCTAGCCTTTCCCCTTGGCTCTCTATGCCCCTGGAGGATCTCTTATGTGGCTTGTGGGCACCCCAAAGCCTTCTCTGAGGGTCCCTCTCAAGGCCCCCCTCCTTAATTGCCCTCCATTCTTCCTCCCCCTTTTCCAAGCTCCTAGGAGGGCCTTAATGGCATCAGGGAGGTCTCGCTCAGAAGTGCACAAGCAGGGCCCACTAGCCCAGATCAGCTGTTTTCAGAGTGTGGTCCCCACTGCGAGGGCCTCTGAGACCCTCTCAGGGAGTCCTCCAAGGTCAACATTATTTCCACAATAATAATGACTCTCTTTATTTTGTATGCTCCTTTTGTAGGCTTTTAAATGCTCTTCTCAGTTTTCTAGAAGCTACTGATGTGTGATGAAAGTATCACTAGCAGAGGGGATGATTCTGTATTCTTGTGTTTTATAATTATTCTCAGTTTTAATTACTAATGACATGTATTGATAGATATAACCCACATAAACAAAAAGCTCTTTGAGGTCCTCAATTTGAAGAGTATAGAGGGATCATAAGACCAAAAACTCTCAGAACCACTGGCCCAGATGGATTCCTAATTGATGATAATTAATATATAAGGGGGGGGCTGCTTAGGGAGAGGGGGGACATGGGGGTAGAAGAGGGAGACCTAGGGAGCAGGGAATAGGGAGGAAGGGAGGTAAGACAGAGGGAAAAGGAGAGGGAGGAAGGAAGTAGACAAGGAGAGAGGTGGGGCAAGAAGAGAGAGGAGGGAGGAGATGGGACGAGGGGCTGAGAGAGAGAAGGGAGAGGAAGTTAACAGGGAAAACAGAAGGGGAAGGGAGAGTGGATGGACAGACGGAGGTCAGAAGCAGATGTGCCAAAGGCTGAAGTAGGTACTTTACAGACTTTAGTGCAGCCCCGTTTCATAGATGAGGAAACTGAGGCTGAGAGAAATTTGGATGTCATCATATATCCTGTAAAAAGGGTAGAGCTGGCTCTGAACCTACGGTCACATCCTTTGTCACCATGCTGTCCCCCTCTAACTTACAGATGAGCCTGAAGTATCAATGGTGCCGCCTTCTAGCCAGCTGGCCAAACGACTACAAAAGCCCAGGATGCAAAAAGCCTTTACAGCCTTGTGCTGCCATTAAGCTACTTATAACCCAGGGAAGGGTGTGAAGGAGGTCAAGGGGTGGGTCACGGTGCACCTGCTGCTGACCTCTGGCCTCTGGCTCATTCCAGGTGAGGCCGCAGAGGCCAGGGTCTGAGGGGCCGGCCGCCCTGCCCTGCCCAGAGCAGCTGCCCTGATTTCAGTTCGCAGGCGTTTCCCATGAACATCCATCACTGCCCACCTCCTGATCTGACTCCCTTCCTGCCAACCCTTCTCTTCGCTGCCAGGGGTTGCCAAGGCTGTGCACACCTGTGGGCGCACCCATCTGTCCCCTTCACCACAATCAGTTTGGTAGGTTTGCCCTCAAATCCTCTTAAAAAAGGAAAAACTGGTTGAAAAACTCCAGTCAGCCTTATTTTCAATATGCAAAATACATTTTATTACTTGGAATTTACCTTTGAGTCTCCACATGGTATAATGTATTCTCAACCAAGTAGTTCATCAAAAACTACTAAACTACACCCACTGTGAGATGAAATACTTATAGGGAAGGTGGCTTACTGCCCATGGGGTAAGTGTTGTACAAACTACTTTCATAGGGCCTGTAGACTTGCTTTTATAACTGAAAAGTTACGGCCTATTTTGCACATGTACTCAAGATGCACTCTGCCTCTCTCAGCATATAGCCTGAGGTTGCTGCCGGTCAGTCTAGGTGGCCTTCCTTTTGTCCCGTCTTCCTTCACTTCTGGCAGGCCCAGGTCAGAGTGCAGAGGCCTGAAAGGGTCTGTGGGAGAGGGAAGGGACCTCCATGACTAGGAGACCAGGAGCGAACTCTGGGATGCTCTGGGAGTGGAGCTGGCGGCAGCTGGGGAGACCTTGTGCCATTTTCCTGAGGCCCCGCCCAGACGGATCCTCTGCGGGGAAGGGGAGGTGACTGAGAAGGGGTCCCTCTGGGCTGTGTTCTTTCCTTCCCTCTGTGCTCTTCAGAGGCAAACAGGGGCCTTTTATATTTCTCTCTCTCACCAGGGCCTGTTGCGTAATAAAACCCTTACACATGACTGAATATAACCATTTTATTTATTTTTTAAAAATTGATGGAAAAGATAGCCTGGCTGATTTTTGGCTGACCGATCCATTATGATACCTAATCAAGTAGTTTTGAGGGTGGTCCTGGCACCCCCCTGAGGTTTACAGGAGAGCCAGATCCAGGCCTATCCAAAGGCCATATCGGTGCCGGCTCCAGGAGGGCCTCTCTGAGCAGCCGGCCTGGGTGTGGGCCCGGGAGCCAGAACCAGTCCGAGGAGGAGGGCCAGGCCGGAGTGGGGCTGAGAGCAGGCCGGAGAGCCAGGGGACTCGGCATACACGGCCCTCGGGCACCACAGGGCCCGGCCCCACAGACCCGGACCCCCTGCTGGGCAAACCTCACTCAGGAATGATTTTTGATATCTGAGGTGACTTTTTTACTTCCCTAATGCATGCCATCTTTACATGTAAGAAATTTTCTAAAACAAAGAATAAGCCTTTATAGTCTAAACCTTTAAAAACAAAACAACAACAACAAAAGAAGGGATACTGTAACAAAAACACTTGGTATCTTCTAGAAGGAACTGATGAATTTCAAATAAAGAGAAGCTATTATGGTTTTTTTCCCCAATATAAGACAAAGACGTCATTGTTTGAGACCTATCAATTAATCTGTATTTGCAATTATCCTCATAATGTAATAAATAGGAGCACAATGGATGTGGACAAGACCTACTTTAGGCTGAGGGGATACTACTAATCCTAGCATGTCTAACACTAGTGATAGGTTTTTAAACAAGTTTACTGTCCTGTGTTCCCACACGGGAAGGTTTTGGTTGCTCTGAGAAGCATTTGTGTCAGAAAGAGCATTCAGCTTTTCCCTTGAAAGAAAATGTTCCGTCCAAGCGCTAACATTCATATCACATCACCATGTAATTTGTAAATTAAACATCCTGTCCATTTTATGCCCATCTGTGCTTCATTCATAACAGTTCACATAGATGAAAATGTTTTATCTGAAAAACGACGATGTGATGCAAGACTGGAAAAGATACTTTTACAATAAAAACACATTTAAAAAAAGTGATTTTGTCTAATTACATTTGGAATTGGAACTTTCTTCTACAACAGATTAATTAGTACAGTCCTCACCCAGTCCACTAAAATCAACACTTCTAGAGAAAGGTCCCAAAAGTCACAGTGCACACTGAGGAAAGTCAGATTTTAAAGTGCTCTGAAAACAAATTTGACTCAAGGAAATAACATGAAATATATTAAATGCTAAATTCTGTTGGTAATAGAATGAGTTGGGAGTAGTATAATTAAGAATAACCTTAAAAATTAATAAATTTTAAAAAGTGTTCAAAATGAAGAAAACAAAAACAAAAACACTGTGCTTGAAGGTGCTCTCCTAGTGTTGAAGGCTCACAGTGGTATTTTCCAGGGGTGGCAGTTTTAATCATAATATAGGAGATGTTTGGTGAACTTTCAGCCATGGAGTTGCTCCCTTAAGATAAGTTGCGATAAATTCTCTCACATCCCCTAAAAGCAAAATCTGTTTACATGTGATGATTTCTAACCTCGGGTATCAAAGTATGTATTGTGAGGAGATGATTAGGCCCAGACCTGCAAAGATACAGATAATTGTTAGTCCCTTAGTTAACAACTTGTAAAACCTGAGTTTAAATGGAAAAAATCAAAGTCTCTTTACACACACACAGAGTCCATCCAAAATAGAGCACTTGCCTGTCTTGCAAAATACAACACTTCACTCAAAGGTGTTTGTTTGGGCCTAATACTCCCTCTCCCTTAGTTAACTGTCTGAAGGGCATCTGTGGCCTCCTATCAGGGAGGGGTAACTCTTAGACTGACAACTGAAACTATCTGTACCCACACAGCTCTCTGCGTACAGTAACGCAACTTTACTAATTTAGGCAACTGCTGCCTAGGAAGATAAAAGTCACAAATAACTTTATTGTTTATTTCAGAAACTTTGCAAAAATAATTTTACCTTTTTATCCTATAAATAGACTACTCAAGTATCCTCTTCAGAAGAGACCCACTTCTCAGAGAGATACAGAGCGTCAAATGACCAGTCACTTTTCAAGATCGTCTTTGAAATCCCTGCTCCCCGCAGCCTGTGTCCAGCAATCTTAAACTCTTATGCCACACATTTGTCCAATTCTAATTAAGTCCCTCCATCAAAAGACTTGCCTTAAATCCCTAAAACCTCAGAGATCTGCCTGTGCTCTCCCCTTCAAAGATACTACTAAGACTGTCAAGCTTGTGGTCTTCCACACTGAGGTAAGCTTTGCTTTACAAACAGGCTATTTTAGTAGTATTTCTGGGGAGCCAACATCTGACAAAGTCATGGATCTTTCTGAGAATTAAAAAAAAAAAAAAAGGCTGTGAGGTGGCACTTCCCAGGAAAAGGCGCACACACAATACCTGGCATATAGTTTCAGGGACTTCACGGACCTCCTGGAGCCCCTCTGGGGGTTTCACAGGGGTCTGTGGCCACAGAAAAAGAGCCTTGCACTTCTGGGAGGCTAGAGTGGCAACTTGTGGTTTGTCAAGGGCTCGACTCGGAAGAATCAGACTTTTAGCATCAAAAGGCACTTTCGGATCACCTAGCCCAACTACCTGCTGATACATAGTTGTGTCATCTATGCCTGAACACCTGAGTGGACGGGGAACTCACTACCTCCCAGGCCACTCATTCCTCCTGTGGCTGTGAGCAGAGCTCAAGTTAGAGCTCCACATGGTTGTCCGGATGTCCTAGCTCCCCCTGACTTCCGCTTTCAGGAAGGCCAATCACTCCTCTTCTCACACACAGAGTGAAATAGGAGAACTCCTCTCTTACTCTTAGGGTGTGATCCCATGATCCTGAGCAAAAAGCAGTCCCATCAGGGGAAACTCGTAGAGTGCTGACACGGTTTTCATGTCCAAACAGGATGGAGACTCGAGACCCCTTGAGGACATCCCAGACATTGATGGTATAATCATTGTATCCAGCAAACAGTAGGCGACCTGGAAGCAGGAGAGAACAGTTATTAAACCAGTTCCTTCCTTCCTGTTTTTCTTTTTGTGACTCTCACTTGCTGGCTTGCTCATTTGTTCATTCAGTCGGTGGGTTGGTCGTTCGTTCGTTCGTTTGCTCGTTCGTTCGTTCATTCATTCATTCATTCATTCATTCATTCAGTAAACAGTGATTTAGGCCCACTTGGTGCCAGGCACCGTGCTTTGTCCTGGGGATTCAGAGAGGAGACAGTACAGTTGCTGCCCCCCGTGGAGGGTGGTAGTGGCAGGTAGACACATAAATCATTGGAGCACCATGTGGTAAGGGTTATACCGCAAGCGCTCAGTTATGTGCAAAGTGTTATCATAGAGGAAGAAGGATCAAGGAGGCATTGCAGAGGAAGCGACATTTGAGTTGGCTCTTGAGGGCTGAATAGGAGTTTGCCATGCAGAGAAAGGAGAAAAGATGTTTCAGGCAGCAGTGGCAGCATGCATGCACGCAGGCTCAGATGCAGAGTGGGGATAGTATCTGGGGACCTGAATGATCCAGTGACCCAGCGTATCAGTGCTGCCTTAAGGTTCACTAGCAGCCTCTCCAGCTGGGAGGGCGGAGGTGCCATCAGCTTAGGGCAGTGAGAAAGAGACTCTTGCTTCACTTCCTCCATTTCTGGAAAAAAGTCCTTTTTGGGTATGAAGGGGAGAATGGAAGGCTGGGGAGGAAATGCCTGAAGGCATCGCACGTGTGAGAATCCATCACCATCCTGAAGAACAGTATTAAGTGGGCACAGCCTTCATTTCCCCCGAAGTGAACGGGGCTGGGGGAAGCCACTGAGGGCAGGGTGAAGTGGGGGTCAAGAAGCCCAGGGCGTGAGAATCTGGCACAAAAGTAGACCATTTAGCATGTCGGCCCACAGGAAGCTCGGCTGAGGGGCCACGTGACAGAGAGCTGGGCTTCACTCAGGTCCTGTTTGACAGCCTGGGAAAGTTTCTGAAATAAAATCTTACCACTGAGGGAGAAGTCCACGCTGGATGCTCCAAATATGATACTCTCTTTGGAATAGATGGCGACCTCCCTGTCTGCCCGGAGGTCATAGAGGCGACACTGGGGAGCAAACAACAAAGAAGCACTTACGTCAGGCTGCAGTTTGGTGATGCAATGACCACAGAACCAAAGGCTCATGCAGTTCAAGAGGTACGGGAAATAAATACCCCTTCGGTTTTCTCTCCTAGTATTTCCTTCATCAATCCCAGTTCTTATTAATCTCCATGGATCAGTGGAGATTTAAAGAAACAGCAAATATAGAAGATTTCTCCAGGTACACAAAAATGAAACCCATTCTTTTTTTATGATGAAGGATACATGTTAACTGTAGAAAATTCAGAAAAACTTAGAAATGTACATAGAAGAAAATGAAAGTCACCCCAAATCCTAGACATATTTACTAACATCTATGTCCTTCAGTCTTCTAGTTTATGTGTATTCTTTTCTCATATCATTAAATAATCTTCAAAACTTCCCCGTGATTAATATAGTTGTTGAAAAAAATATAGAATATATTTATAGAATATATATGTATAAAATATCAGACTCTATTTAGCCATCCCCCGTTAAGTGTTTTGACTGTGTCTAGTTTTTCTCTTTTATAGTAAAATTCTAGATATTTCTGTCTCTACCATGGTAACCATTCTTATGTAAAAATCCCAAATGTTTTCCTTACAATAGCTAAGGGAGAGAATCTTTAGAATAGAATTATTTGCAAGAAATAGCATGTCCAGGTTAAAGGGTGGAGATGTTTTGAAAGCTCTTGTATCACACCACAAAACTGCTTTCTAGAAGGCTGGCACCAAGGGTCCTGATTCAGGCTTGTCCCAGGCTCCTTCACTGCACCGTCTCCACCCCTGAGCACTTTTATAGCGACTGAGCATCTGACCATTGAAACTTGCATTTCTTGGATTAGAGGTAACTTTGAAAACATTTTCAGTTTATTTGCCATTTTAGATGTATTGTTTTGTAAATGGTCTGCATTATATCCTTTTTTAAAAATTGGGGTATTTATCTTATCGATTGTGCAACCCCATTCATAACTGAAGGATTTCAACTTGGTCTGTCATACATGCAGATTTTTCCAAAATGTACACACAAAAACATACCGTATTTTGATATATATTTTTTGACATACAGAAGTTTTATATTTTTATTATTATCAAAACTCTCAATCTATTCCTTTGTAATTTCTTCCCCAGTAGTAAATCATAATGAAAACTCTTATTTAATAGCTATTTGGTATTTTCAGGGTACAAGAAGATACCTTTTTTCCCTTAAAAAAATCAGTCAACATAAATTTTCAATTAGTTTCAAAAGCCTTACAACTCAAGAAGTTCATGTCTGAAAATTAATTCTAAGGAAACAATTGGTTCCAAAAATATTTACTTATAGCAGTGTTTTTTAACAGGGAAAAAAATTAAAAAAAAAACACCTTGAAATCCTAAATGTTCAAAACTTGAAGACTGGTTAAGTCAATGATGGTATGTCTATAACATGAGAAATTATTCCATCATTAAGAATATACAATATAGAAAAATGTTGATTAGAATGGAAAATGTTCAAAATCTAATACTAAACAAAAACAAAAACAAAATACACACACACACACACACAAAATAAAACCAAATTAGAAAGCTTTTTTTCCCCCAAAGAAAAGGGACAGGAATTCACCTAATTTTGATTTTTTTCTTGGGTAGGGAGATTAAGATAATTTAATCTTTCCTCAAGTTTTCTTCATTGAATATACATTATTTTTGTAGGAAAAAAGTTATCTTTAAAAAATAAACTGAAGTCAGCATATCTTTTTCAAGTAGGAAAAGCTCTCAATAACTTAGAAACATACCGTAGCGTCATCGGACCCCGAGGCAAAGGCATCTCCACTTGGGTAGTACCTGCAGGGAGGAAGTTCGGGGAGAAAGCACTTTATTCAGAGCGGCGACTCCCACTCCTGCATGCTCATCAGAACCTCCTGTGAGGGCCGTCCCTCAGGCCCTCGGAAACAGAACCTCCACTCTAGGGTCATGAGAACCCCCTGTTACAGAGGCCAGCGAGAGAAGCTCATCCGGCAGACCCACTGGCCTCTGGTTTTCTTCCCTGTAAATAGGGCACAGTGGCACTGGCCTTGCAGAGTGTTGGTGAGGAGTAAATGAGATAATATGGGTACCTGCACCCGGCGTGGGACACAGAGCAGGCCCCTGTACCTGTAGTTTTCCTTGACCATATACCTCCTTCCCAAGACTTGGCTCAGGGCTCAGGGATAGGAAGGTGGCTATAAATACAGACACTGGAATCAGATACACAGAGCCACCTGCAGATCTCTGCACTGACCACTCACTACGTGGGATACTTGCGGCAAGTGACTTCACCTTGCCCAGCCTCAGTTTCCTCATCTGAAAAGTGAGGATGATAATGCACATTCCCTGTTGTCAAAAATGAAACAAGACGGTATATGCAAAGAATGGGCCACAGTACCAGACAGAAAGCATTCACTAAATAATGAGTATTTCTGTCATAGTCATTCTCTCTTCTATAATCGGGCTTCCTGGAGGGCGGGAAGCCTAAGTTAAGACCTGATGGAACAACAGCCATTAGAGGAAGAGGGTCCACGGTAGAGGCAAAGCGGGGGTGGAGAGAATGTGCATTTTTAAGCTGTATTTCATGAAAACATAAGGGTTTGATTTAGTCTTGTAGATATTCTATCCTGCACCTTAGTAACTTTGTTTACTACTTGTAGTAAATTCTGGATTAACTTTCCCTGATTTTCTAGGTAATTGCTGCACCTTTGCAAAAGGCGATAGTCTTTTTTCCTCTTAGCTTATATCCTATTTGAGGGCAGGGAGCTGGAAAACTCCTACTAACATCTCTACTACTAAAGTAATTAAGTCTTCTTATTTTGTTCTTGCTTGTAAGGGGAACAAGTATAGTATTGCCCACTAAGCATAATGAAGATTCTTGGGTGATTATATTTTATATACGTACTGTCTGGGCAGTGCCATCTTCCAAATTTCTATGTCAAGTCCTGACCTCTCGCTCTCGGGATCCAGTTCATAGAGACTACATGTCATTTGGCCCTTTGCATGTCTTCTTGCGGAACTGGGGCTCTGGTAACCAGCACAACAATGCTGATGTTCTGGCTATTGCTACTGCTCTGAGTAGTTAACTGTCCTTCATCTTTCACCGAGGGGACTCTTGTCTTCTACCAGCATCTGTGGAATTGTGGCAACCTGACTTGATAGCTTGCAGGTTAGGTAAAATCTCAGAACATTCCCAATTTCAGACATTTCTGCCTCTACCGTTTTCTTTAGCTGTAGCTGCCATCCTTTCTTTCTTGAACTCATGCAACTACCTTCCAGCTGGCTGTCACATTCCCATTCTTCCTCCCCGATAACCTATTCTCCATACAGTAGCCAGAGAGAGCTTTTAAAGGTGAAACAGACAAGGTATGTCCAGAAAAAACCCAGCCATTGTTAATGGAACAAGAATGGTTTGCACAATATCGATAACCTGACAGCCAAGGAGAGGGGACTGGAATGTGCATGTGTGAACAATGACGATTTCACTGTACTAGTCAGTGGGGGAAGTAGAGGCCATGAGTGAGCATGTATTCTGTGTGGCCATTACATTCAAAATGACTGAGTGAGTAGAGCAAAGAATCTGCATCAAATTTTGCACTAAGCTTGAACATTCCTCTATGGAAACTATTCGGATGATTCAGAAGGCTTTTGGGGATGATGCAATGAGTGCAGCGCAAATAAAAGTGTGGCACGAATGTTTCAAAGATGGTTGAGAATGTGTTGAAAGTGATTAACCTTCTAGAAGGCTTGCAATAAGCGCAATACCTGAGAATGCTGAACGTGTATGGGCTGCGATAAACAAAGATCAGCGACTGACTGTGAGAACTAGAAGCTGAGTTGGTGATTCCAAAAACTACTGTGACTGAGATTTTGACTCAGGATCTTGGCATGAAAGGAGTTGTGGCAAAATTGTTCTGCAGCTTCTGCTACCAGAGCAGAAGGAACATTATGCTGCAGTTGCTAATGATTTGATTCAAACCACTACCAAGTAACCAGATTTCTTCCAGAAGGTCAGAACTGGAGATGAATCGTGGTTCTCTGACTATGATCTAGAAACAAAGGCCTAGTTGTCCCAATAGAAGTTGCCTGGTTCTCCACGCCCGAAAAAGGTACAGCAAAGTCTCAGCAAGATCAAGACCATGGTTAACTGTGTTTTTGATTGGGAAGGTGTTGTCCATCATGAGTACGTCCCTCCAGACCAAATAATTAGGAAGGAGTACTATGAGTACCTCAATGTTTTCTGTCAGTTAAAAGATGCAATAAGACAAAAATCGCTGCAGCTATGGGTGACTGGTGATTGGCAGCTTCATTGCAACAATATACTGGCTCATGCATCACGTTTTGTGCAGTTTTTTAGTGAAATACCAAATCACCTAGGTGACTCAGCCCCCCTACAGCCCAGATTTGGCACCCCGTGAATTCTGGCTTTTTCCCTAAACTAAAATCACCTTTGAAAGGGATGAGATTTCAGACCGTTGATTAGATTCAGGAAAATACGACAGAGCAGCTGATGGTGGCTGGGAGAACTGTGTGTGGTCCCAAGGTGCCTACTTTGAAGAGGACTGAGGCCTCATTGTTCTATGTACAAAGTTTCTTGTAGCTTGATCTTCCTCAATTACTGTCTCTATTTTTTAATAGTATGTGGATGGATACTTTCTGGACAGACCTGTAGCTCATGTTAGCCACCCCTCTCCCCCCAGCTCAACCATCTTGCCTTTTGTTAGTTCCCTTAACATATCTCATCTTCCCCAGCTCTTTGCAGGCCTGGCTCTTGTATCATTCTGGCCTCAACTTAAATGTCTTCTCAGAGAGGCCGTCCCTGACCATTCTAAGAAATAACCCATCCCATTACATCTCCTTGTTTTACTTTTTTTTCATTGCACTTATCTTAAATTATACATTTGTTTATGTGTTGTCTCCTGCAGGAAAGTGAGGACCTTGTTATCTTGTTCACAACTGTATTCCCAGTTCCTGGGAGAGTGTCTAGCATATGAGTACTTAATAAATATTTGTTGAATGAATGAATGAGAAATACTGATTCAACAGAGGGGATGATATCTATGCCCTGGTACAATCATATTAAAATTCTCCAAGAGACCCAGAGTGTATTCGGTCCCACTGCAAATCAGCCATTCTTGCTGGGGAGGCCTCTGTCAGCCAGGAAAACTAAGCCTGGAGGTGGTTCCCGGGCTCAGAATAACTCCAGGCCAGCAGCACCGGAGAGCAGAGAAGTAATGCAAACATTCTACTCACTGACCGGACACTGTTGATGTCTGATTCATGTGTTTCAAAGGCCTGCACGCACTGGCCGGAGCGCATGTCCCACACCATGGCTTTCTTGTCACATCCCTACAAATGCAAAGTTACCCAGAGTCATGGCCGCTGCAAGGGCTGTCTACAGACAGGCATGAGTTCCAGTTATGGACACAGACCGTTTATGTCCCATTGGTAAAGGGCTGACAACGTGCTTTTTGGAACTAGCTTTACTTAAGGCCACTTTCCTCAGCTGGTAAGTCCTTAGAAGGCCAGAGTGGGAGGGGAGCAAGGGAAGGACCCAGCTTGTTCTTCTTTTTTTAAAAAAGATTATATTTATTTATTTTTAGAGAGGGGAGGGGATTTTTAGAGAGAAACATTGTGTGGTTGCAACTTGCACATCCCCTGCTGGGGACCTGGCCTGCAACCCAGGCATGTGCCCTATACAGGGAATCAAACTGGTGACCCTTTGGTTTGCAGGCTGGCGCTCAATCCACTGAGTCACACCAGGCAGGGCCGTGTTTTCTTTTTTGGCTGGTTTCTGAGCGGCTAGAAACTCTCCGGCGCCTACCTCTCACCTTCCCCTGGGCATTTCCTATCTCTTCATTCTTCTCCTTCCTTTTTTATCTCTGCCTCTCTAAGCCCAGAGGGGAGGGCAGGCAGACAGCGGCTGCTGGGTGGGACCTCCCCGCCTTTTCCCAGGTGTCTGGGTGGTGGTGCTCTAGGTGCCCCCGGGCTGACTGGGCCGCAGGAGCACGCCCAGCTGGGAATCAGCCGAGTAGAAGCCCAGTCACGGCCCTGCCAGCAGCTAGCTGGTTGCCTGGGCAAGTCATCTCCCTGGGCTTCCACCTCAAGACCTGTAAAAATGCTCTCTGATTGCCAACACAACCCAGAGATTCGTAACAATGAAATCCTCATGTTACACTATCGTGGTTCTAGGAGCATTTTGATAAATTCCTGCAGAGCAGTCCTGTTGTCATGCTTGGGGACTATCATATGGATTCTCATTTGTCAAACAGAAGTCATAGCTTAAAATTGGTGCTCAAGTTGTTGGTTTCATCTCAGAGGAAAGGAGGGGACGAAGAGGTGCCCTAACTTGGTATCTCAGAGAGACCTGCTGTTGGGTTCAGCACGCTGAGAATCTTTACTCAGAATGCGGACAAAGGAATCAGGAGCACCTTCTAATTTTTAGAGGAGCTAAACCAGGTGGATTTTAGTGCTCTGAAGGAGACCACATAACCCACAATGATATTGAAAGTTTGAGGAAACAGTGTAGTTGAGGAGAGCTAAATAGTTATACAAAAGCACAGGACCTACTGAAGAACAAAATTGAGGCTCCTGCTATTTAAAGAACAGAGAGTCCTTGCCTGACGCCCAGAAATGAGAGATGGACAGCTCAGAGCAAAGAGCCCCTACGTCTCCCAGAGGCAAACACCGTCTGATGGTGTACGCGTGACCAGCCTCTCACCTCTCTCTCCTGACGGGCTCGGGGTCAGGTCAGCCAGCTCCATTCTCCATTTTTATTCCCAGCTGTCCACAAAAATGCTTGCCCCTACCATTTGTATAACACATTGTAAACTCTTCCACCTACTGTTCATAATATCCTGGGGAAGGGGGGAGGTGAGTACTATTGTGCATTATGCCCAGTTTACAGATGACAAATTTAGAGTCAGGCAGCAAAGACGGGACCCAGACATCCTGACTCCTAGTCTGGTGCTCCTCTGTGTCACTGTGGCTTATCTGCCCAACTCTGAACCTTCAAATACACTGTTCTCTGTGCCCTGGGGAGGCACAGGGGTGGTGAATGGCAGGAAAGTGTCCCACCAGCCCCAAAGCCCTGATCACTGCATAGCGCCACCTCGCCTCAGCAGCTGTCTGACCTGCCAGGGGCCCGTGTGGCTGTCTCTAATGCCGTCAGATGCTGACTCTGCTATTTGTTTGAGGAATGACATTTTTCAAAGTGGCAGATATGTACCCTGAAAAATAGCAGTCACCACAGGAGAACATTCCAGATCCCTCTGTAGACTGCTGAAGGTCAGGCGGAGCACGGGAGGCCCTCACAGCCCAGCTCTGCCACTGCCTGCCAAGCACCACCGTGGCTGCGGGAGCTGGGGTGCAGCGCGGAGCTGAGGCGGTCCTGCAACCCCTTCCAGGGACGTATCCCAGCCAGTCCCGGGACATGCGAAGAATGGCCACTGCAAGCCCCCGTTGTGGACAAAGGACCCTGACATTTTCCTCAGGTCTTTACCCCAGACACGAAGGTGTTTCCTGTTTCTGAGGGGGCCAGGTCCAGGCAGAGCACGTCGGCCCCGTGCCCGTGGAAGCTCTGCAGCAGCTGCCCGCTCTCCACGTCCCACAGGGCACACGTCCCATCGCCGCTTGCCGTCAGGATCTGCCCACGGGAAAGGACAGGGAGAGCACTGCTGTCATTATCACTTCTGTCAGGGGCAAGTCTATCAGGGAAAAGCAGGCTTCTCGGCCCTAGTCCCCAACACTTGCTGTGTGGGGATGGCATCCGGGCGCTGTGCTAGGTGTTAGGATTTGCAGGAAGATTGGATCTTGGTCTCTACTCTCCTGAAACTCACTCGGTTTAACAGGATTGGTGGTGAAAACTGAAACCAGCCTACTTTCCTGTCCCTGTGTTAGTCAATTCAAGGACCAGGTATGCTTTCCTCGTCCTATGCTGAACAATATTGCGGCCAAGCAAAAAGAACCTGCTTGCTTGCTCTAGGAAGTACCTGCCCCTGCAAAATAAGACTGTGAATCGACTAAACGACTTATCAAGACTAGCAGCTTGCTCATCAAGACTGGCTTTAAGACTTGCCTTGCTGGGCTGACCAATCTAAAGCTATTATGCCATCAGCCAGTTTCCTGCTGTGACAGAGCCACCTTAAAATCACCCAGCCCAGTCCCTGAAACCCTCCAAGTATCCTTCCCTGATTTCCCCACTTTGAGACACTACAGAGATGCTCAAGTTGGGGTTCTCTCCCTCACTGCAGTAGGTCTAAGAAACTTAGCATTGTGGAATGGCAAGTTTTTCTGATGGTTTTGTGGACAAGACAGTGACCACTTATGACAGAGTGTGAGAAGCGCTGAGATGCAGCTAGGCCCAAGGGAGGGGCACAAATGCACTTTGGCAACTTCTGAGCCGGTCTTAGAGGACGAGTGAGAGCTGGCTGGGTGAGGGAGGGCGGGCCCTGCGGATGACCGCCTGCCTCTGCATTCAATGAGAGGTGTGCCTGTGTAGAGAGCGAAGACTTTAGCCTGCAGACAAAAAGAAGCTGTGGGAAGCTTCCAAGCTGAATGATAAGATCAAGGGTGTATTTTTGGAGAATCTGTCAGGTGAGTGCAGCCAGACCTCAGCAGCCTCTGTACAGCTTTCAAGTAAAGGCCGGCCCACACCGGAGAGGAATGCTGGGGTGCCCGGGAGAGGCCTGGGGCCGAGCCAGTGCTTGTGAGGCCTAGCCTCCGGCTGAGCTTGCCTCCCTGGGGTTGGGGGAAAGGCAGCGGGGATCCAGGCTTCATGGGCTCACAGACCCAGCTGACTGCACCGCAGCATCTTGGGGCCTGCTTGGTCATGAGAAGCCACGGAGGGAACCACAGGCCACAGCAGAACCTTCCTGTGCCCCACCTTCCGGCTGCTCCCAGGGCCTGGATGAGGTGATAAGACACTGCAGGAAGTGGCTCTTGCAATGTTAAGTGCTCACAACAGAGAGCCCTCAGCGGCTGATAATTACTGATGATGAGGGAAGAAAATAAGAATCAGGCCTTAAGAACTGCTAGCATGCAATGTGCCCAGTGACCTGCTGCACCTCCAATTTCCACGTGCTGGTGGTCTTCTCCCCTCCTCCCCCACCCTCTGTCCCAGTCTCCCCCCTTCTCTCTTGCTTGCTAGGCCTCGCACTTACAAAGACTCTCCTTTCTCCTGCAGGGAAGAAACTCATTACAAAGCAGGGCTTCCCCGCTGGCCTTGTGCCTGCCTGCAGGCTGCACTGTCCAGGTGTGGGTTTCTTGCTGGGAAGTCTGGGGAGGCCTAGGACCTCTTTGCAGCCAGGAGAGGCCACCTTGGAGTATCTCCCTGGAGCAAGAGCTGGGTGAGTTCGGAGCCCTCAGGCTTCTTGGGCCTAGTCCCCAAGGTCCTCCTCAAAGTCCCCTCTGGGGGCTAGCTCTCAAATTGGGGGCATTTCCAAGGCTTCAAAGCCCCTGCAGCCTCAACTTCTCTCAGGTATACATCCGACAAAGTAAGCAAGGCTGGTAAAAGTAGCTTGTGAACACACAAGACTTCGACTGCATCTTAATTCGGGCACTTAAATTTTGTAATATGCTATGGTTTCCTCCAGGCTCTCCAGCCCACACCCACTAAGCAGAGTGCCGCCCCACGCCGTTCTCGTGCGAACACTTGCAAAGGGTCACTAACCTCCAATCTTTTGGGGGGATGCTTTCAACAGTTACCGCAGACTGACTCTTTATTTTGGTCATTTTCCACACCATGGTCTTCAAGCAAATAAATGGATAGTTTTTGAAAGTTACAAGTAAATCCTTAATATTTTAAAAATATTTCTGTGATCTTCATTACAATGTAAGTACAAACAAATTTTAAAAACCAAATATTTATGACGGGAAATGCACTAAACAGAACCTCTAACTAAGTGTCGTTTATTCAGGAATGTAAAGAATTTGTAGGTTTAATACCACAGTCTTATACCAGCCACCTGGGGTTTTCTTTTTTCACCCTAGATCCCAGAGAGGGGAGGAAGTTTAAGGGTCCTTAGTTCATTAGTGCCCAAACCAGGCCGTGCATCTGAATTTTTGTGTTAATGAAGCTTTGTGTTAATATTAATAATAAAACAGTAAGAGCCAACACTTACTGAAATTTACCAGGGACTATACTATTTTACACAAATCATCTAATTTAATTCTCAGAAAACCTTATGATGGAGGAATTTATTACCACCCTCACTTGCAGGTAATAAAAACAAAACACGGACGACGACCTTGTTTAGCACGGACCAGCTAGAATGCAGTGGGCCGGGACTTGACCCCAGCCTGACTCTGAGCCAAGGCCTGGACCTGCTGAGGCGGCCAGCAGAGTCAGTGGGACTTCCCTCTATTCCGTCTATCTCCTTCTAGCGGCGTGTTAGGAAAACAACACTTTCTACCTTACAGACGCCTCTTTAATGCCCACCACCAGCATTGTGGCAACACAGAAAGAGGGTAATGGGCCTCCACCCGACCACTCACCCTTCCTGCATCCCTTTGTTGCTTTCTTCTTCCAGACTAAGCGTCCTCTGCTGCTTTGGCTACTCCTCAGGCCCAAAGGCACCTCGTCTGGCTGCTGCAGCCAACTGGGGCCACAGCGCCCCCTACTGTACGGGTCTGCAAGGCACCTGGCTGCAAACACTAGGTGGAAACACTGCACTTCAAATCTGAACAACCTTCTTGTCAGCAATTTAGCAATGACCCAGTCACCTGGTCTCTTTGATGCCACCCTCCCTTGCTGACAAGAGTCAGCTGAAGCTACAGTGGGCCATGGAAGGACTGAATCTGACTCAGAGACGTTCCTCCTTAAAACAAACCCAAATATGAGCCTGCCTCCACCTGCACGGCACTCACAGCGCCCCCTTCTCAGGCTGCCCCACTGCGCTCCCCTCATACCTCACTGGCAACACCCTTGGCTCCCAAGGCCGGCCCAGACCATTTGCACCAAGTTTGTGACCACCCCTCCTGCTCTGAGCTCCCAGCCTTCCCCGCAGAGCAGTAAAGACTGGTTTCCATGAAGGTCCCTGAGGGCAGAGACTGTGTGTGCCTCCAGCCCAGGCCCAGGTAGCATCTGGCAACCTGGGGGTGTACACCTAGAAAGGTGTGTTGCGTAGATGCGGATAAATAAACTACAGTATGCTTTTACAACTTATTAAGAAAATGCAGTGCGGGTGTTAAAATACTGTTTTTACTTGTGATTTACTCAAAGCAAGGCAGAAATTCACTATTTAAAGCTTTTTCTTTTTGCATTTGTCAAAACAGGAGTGTACAGTAGGTTCAGTGAGGTGTGTAATGTGCATAACTGTGAAGCTCAGCAGCTCAGTGATATTTTACACACATACGTTCCTTGCAACCACATCTCAGATGGGGAGCTAGGAATTCCCACCACCCCACAAGGTTCCCTGATCCACCCCAACAAGTCAGTTAGAGAAGGATGTTCAGTATGATATGTAGTAGTTTATCTCAACTCTATCAATGGCCAAGAGCCCTGACTTTCCTCATTTCTGATTTTATTTAAAATAATAACAACAACCAATGACGAACAATAGGAACTTCCTTTCAAGCACCCTTCCTGTTAAGAGAAACACTGAAAAAGCTTCCTCTCTCCTCCCTGGGTTCTCTACCACTTAACCCGCTCTCCGGCAGGCTGACCCACGAGGGGCCCCTTACGTACCTGCATGTCAGAGTTGGTGAAGCTGCAGGCTGACAGGTAGTTGGTATGCATAGCAACAGACTTCTTTTTGGCAGCCATGTTTTCATTCTTGTCAAATGTCAGTGGATACACAGAACACTTATTATCTAAACCACTAGCATGGAAAGAAAGAAGTGTCAGATGTTGACAGAGAGCAATGAGGTATGTATGTGTGTGCTTTCTCACAGTCACACACTGTAGCTGGGAGGAGGTGATGCTGGCTGTGACTCCAGAGTTCTTAGATGTAAAATCACTAGGTCCAAGGTTGTAAATTTTTCAAGGTTTCTGATACACATTACTAACATGCTTTCCAAGTGTTTGCACCAACTTATAGTCCTCACCACCAGCATGTGAGAGTGAGGGGAATAGCTTTTCAGCTTATACTGCTGTCAGTCTGTGATGAAAATAATTATGAAAGAGATTTTTGTGCTTTGTTTTCTCTAATAAAGTTCAGAGAGGAATTTAACACACTGCTTAACAAGCAAACAATAAAAACGACAAGGTCTTGCATGTTTGCATGTCTTTGCCCATCCAACAGTATTTACGGCTAACGGGAAACCTGAAAAGCTGCTGTGGGCCCTGCTTACCCACACGCAATGGCGCATCCTGACGGGGCGTACGCACACGCCATCACCCACGTGCAGGGCATGGTGACCGCGTGCTCCTGAAACACAGATAACCGTTCGTAGGATAAACGAGGGCTGCCTCTACAAACATCTTAACATTTAAAAGAGTCACTGGCAATCTTACTGAATTACATTATAGCTTCAAAGGGCAGTGAAGTGGGGTGGCAATTAGCTTGAGACTGACAAGAAGACTCACTCAGCCCCATAGAAACAACCGAACGTTATGTCATATATTCTAAAAGTTAAAGATCTCACTTACTAAAAAAAAAAAAATTAAATAAATAAATAAAATCCTTCATGTTTTACTTCTTTCTTAATGTTATACCCCTCTTGTTCTTCTGAATGAATACTGGGGCTCCTTTTCTTTGAAAGGTCCATCTGAATTTCATTTCCAATGTAAATGTCACCTTATTTACTCTGATTCCTCCTATTTTCAAAATGTACTTAAAAAATTATTTATTTATTTATTTATTTTCAGAGAGAGGGGAAAGGTGGAAGAAAGGGAGGGAAACATCAATGTGTGGTTGCCTGTTGCACGCCCCCTACTGGGGACCTGGCCTGCAACCCAGGCATGTGCCCTGAGTGGGAACTGAACCAGCGACCCTTTGGTTCACAGGCTGGCACTCAATCCACTGAGCCACACCAGCCAGGGCTCAAAATATATTCTTGAATGACGTTTCACATGTATATTAAAAGTCTGTTCACTTGTGACTGTACAAGAGCCTCTGTCCCCCATGGGTCCAAAAACCATTCCTGGGAAGGCAAGAATTGGGGCAGGAGGGTGATCTTGAGTTGTGCTCAGGGATAAGAGAGCACCTGTAAAATGGAAGCATAAAGAACCAGGCCTAACAGTCCCTGGCTTCCCGGTGATGGTCGAGTCACCCACAGCCTCCCGAGTTCAGATAAGCAAACAACAAAGCCACCATCCAATGGTTCCAACACCAACAAGACGTGCTACTCCCAACAAACCAGCCGTTTGTACTAACTTGGTCTCATTCTCCATCTGTAGAGGGAGGGAAGAGGATTAGACTTGCACAGGACATTCAAGCGCCAGTCTTTCTTGTTATGATTCTCTGTGTTTTTGTAGGGAAATATGGGCCTCGCAACTGCCTGTCGAAATTCTGTTGTCACTCACAGTCTTGCAGCCTTTCCGAGGCCAAGAATAATCTACTGCCCTCCAGTGAATGAGGCTGTGCCCTTCCCAGGCCATGCCCTTTCCTGTTTTAGTGTTGCACGTCCTCTCAGCACAGGGCATGCCAGGCCCCTTTCCTTACAAGTAATGGCTATGCTCCCTGCCAGGGGCCACCCGTGGCGACTCCACAGCTCCCCAGAAATCAGGCAGTGTGTGCTCTATGCCACCCTAAGGCGTAAACAAAAGCAAGAAAACCCTATGCACTGCTCAGAAGTGCTGGGAGAGGCAGTCTTCCAAGGATGTAGGTGATGTGTAATAAAGCCCTTCGCAAACCGTTTAGTGGTCATTTTTATTATTCCCCAGGGGCCTGATCATTAGGGACTTGCTCTCTACAAGGTGGTTCTGGGGCCTGACTTGACCAGGTCATGTAACAGCTGCCTACCATGACATTTACCAAACACATTCAATAATTTATAATATTGACATTGCTCAATTTGTGACAGATACAGATCTTTTTATTTTGTTTAACTTATTTTATTTTTTTATTCCCACCCAGGGATATTTCCTCATTGCTTTTTAGAGAGAGAGGAAGGGAGAGAGAAGAAAACAATGATGAGAGAGAGAAACATTGATTCGTTGCCTCCCATTCACACCTGGACCTGGGATCAAACCCACAACTCTTCGGTTTCAGGATGCTGCTCCAACCAATTGTGCCACACTGGCCAGGGCCAGGTCTCCTTTTTAATATTGTGAAAAGGCAGACTTTCTAAGTAACTATTGGAATCCATATTTAATACACAATACTCATTATTGTAAATGCCAACATGCTGTATGCATGCAAGCATACCTACACATAGACTTCGTCTTTTTAGTAAAGAGTCTAAATTTAAGTCTAACTTGGAGCCGTGCATGCTTAGGCCAGAGCTACAAGGGGCTCAGACTCCACAGTGTCCCCAACAGTGTAGGTCAACCCACTGCAGCCTCAGCTTCACCCACTGTTTGCTCATGCCCACAGTGCTCTGGAGTCTGGGCAAAGACAGAGGGGAAAAAAAACTGGGGGTATGGGTACCGCTTATCACCACTCAGAAGAATACATGCAGTTGCCTGTGTGAATGTGACCAGTTTCCCAGGCCATGCCCTTTCCTGCCCTAGTGTAATACGTTCTGTGGTGGCTTAGCACGCTCTTCTGTGGGCTGCTAGGCTGTCTTAACACAAATGGGCTTCTGTGGGGTTTCCATTCCCAGAGAGGCTCCCCGAGAGGCAGGGAATGAGGACAGGGCTGGGGAGCCGGACCCGAGCACCTCTGCACTAGGCTGGGGTTCTGAGGTGCCTCAGTGTGCTGAGGACAACACCTTACCTTGTTCGTTGTGAAGGAATCCCACACGATCACCTTCCCGTCCTAGAAGGAAAGGAGGAAACAGCTCAGGAGGTGTCAGCAAGCCCACTTTCACTGTAACCACGGCTGCAGCCCACAGCGGCGTGTGGCGAGTGACCACGATGTCACCTAGTTGTAATGCAAACCCACCACAGATAAATCCAGGAGCTCTGGTCCCTACAACATGGTTACCTGTGCAGACATGATGTGTGGCGTCTCTGGGCGCCAGGCTCTGGGTGACAGTGGCAGAGGATGGCTGAGCTGACTTCCTTCAGCTCACAGGTCCCTCAGAGATGGTGAACCTGCAGCCTCTACAGTGGGCTTGGTTTTCCGAATCACTCAAGCCATGTGGAGCCAAATCTGGGGAATGAGGTGATTGCAGGAGGGGCGGGGACAGGTAAGGCCACTTAGGGACACAAGCAAGGTCTGATGATCTAAAGGGGCACAGCCGCTTGCCTTGCATGATCAGATGGAAGACTTCCACATTATGCTGAGTGTGGCTGAGGGGCTATGAAACAAGGTCAACAGTTTGGGGCCTTTCAAGACTCCTAAGTGCACTGGTTCTTCTGGCCTGATTTCTCCGGCTAAACCCCCAAACACTGTGTAGGGGGCAGATGAGGTAACAGAGCAGGGAACAGAGCAGGGGGCTGGGGCCTGTGTCTTGGGCTCCTCCAGGCCTGGAGCCCCCGCCTGCTGGGCAGGCGTGCTGACTCAGAGCAGGCCCCGCGTCAGCGTTCGCCTGGGTGACTGCCTGCCTGTCCTCACCTCCCACCCTCTGTGCGCTCAGGAGAGAAAAAGGCACCCCGGAGACTACAGTCGGCCTGATAAAACTGAATGTGGTCCCCTCCGTGGGCACAGTTTATCCACTGGGAGCCTAGGGACCTGGGGAGATGGTGCCTCCACCTGACCCTAACCCACACAGTCTGCTGATTCATTGCCTGCCTTTTTAGGGAGAAGGGTGGCTCTGACTCACTCGAAGTCTGTTCCAGAGCCTTCCCGCTGTCTCCAGCTCCTGCCCACGCCCCGCCCACTCCCTGCAGCCGAGATGGATGGATGGAGCCAGCCGGCCCTGCTCCTCTCCTCCCTCCCTCATCAGAGTGCACACGAGTGACAGAAATCCAACATGAGTTATACTTTTAAGGATAAAAATGTCTAAAAGGCTAGGTAGCAACATGTCCATCTCAATAACCACTCTGTAAAAATGGCCATTTAAAAAAAAAAAGTCCAGAAAGAAATGCTCTGAAATAAAAACAATGGCTGTGACAAGGTGGTAGGGGTAAAAACCTTTTCTGTGTTCTCTTTTCCAGTGTTTTTTCAATGTGGTAAAAATACAAAAGTGATAACGTTTTTATGAACATAAAAAAAAGCAAGTGCTATGTGACATACTAGGTTTGTAGCTAATACAGGACATTAATAACACTTGCCCTATCAAACACGACACTGACGTAGGTATTAGAGCTGTGGGTTATCTAGAATATGCACAGTTTTTATATTTACGAAGTCATTAAAAAAGAAAACCCAAATTGCCCTTTGAAAAAGCTGGGATGAAAGCAGGCGTGAAGGGAAGCCCAAACTGGCTATAAAAATATATGACTTCAGCGTACAGTTGTATGTTCAATGCGTGTAACATCAAAATAAACACAGAAAATACTAAGCAGTGGTTGCCAGGCTCCAAGAGGGTCCCCAGTCGCCCCAGTCTCCGGCCCCTCACACCCTCGTACGGGCCCCACCCTCGTTGCATCAAGGCTGGTCTGCGTGACCCAGGGAATGCGACAGAAGCGATAGAATGTGGCTTCCAAGGCCAGGTCCTGGAAGCCTTGGCTACAGGCGCATGGCTCCTGCCTCCACCTCCCTCTCTTAGATCAGTTGCTCTGGGGGAGGCAGCTACCGTGCCCTGAGCAGCCCTATGGGAAAGTCGACAGCACAGAACTACGGCCTCCAGCCAGCAGCCACGGGAGTGAGCCCGCTCAGAGGTGCGTCTCCGCCCGAGCGGAGCTGGCAGAAGGCCGCGGCCCCGGCCGACAGCCTGACCGCAGCCTCATGGCAGGCCCTGAGCCAGAGCCACCCAGCTACGCTGCTCAGGATTCCTGACTCTCAAACCACAGGATGTCATAAATATTTGTTGTTTTATGTGGCTAAATTTTGGGCTAATCTGTCATGCAGCGATAGGTAACTAAGATGTAAGATGTAAAATAAATGATGTCCACTATATACAATGAATGAAAAATTAGGCTTCACAAAATATTTATCCTGCATTTGTTCTTCAAGGCATAAAAATTGCTAAACTCTTAAACCAAAAGAAGCCATGGTGGCATCTCAACCACTTCTGCCTCAATTTGGAAAAGACAACCACTGTTTTAAAATCAGTTTTACCCACAAATAAAAGCATGAACCATGCTCAGGAAGAAATAATTTAAATGGTTTGCCAAATAGAGTTTACAATGTTTCAGTATTATCGATTCCAAATATGCCCAAATTAGTGAAGTTCTGCAGTACGAAAGAGAACTCTCAGCCAGGCTAAACTCAGGTCCCTTGGAGACTAAGCAGTCGTAAAGAGCAGAACGGAGTGTTTGAAAAGGACAGCTCTTGTCTCCCTTGCCCATGAAATCAGAGGGCTGCTCACTGTCACACGGCAGGCGCTACGTACCTGCGACGAGCTCACCATCCTCCTCTTGTCTTTGCACCAGTCCATGCAGAGAACTTTGTTCCCGTGGCCTTTGAGGGTCCTTCTGGTCTTCATGACAAACTGCCCCAGGGCCTCCACCCGCTCCGCCACCTGGTGCACTAGAAGGACAAGGCCGCAGTCAACTCTGTTATCCGGCACCAGGCTCCGAGCCACATGTCGCACAGGGAGACACTGGGCTTTCTCTGCAGCCACAGCTCGAGCCTCTGATTTCTACCACGCCCTTGCAGTGCTCTCTCTTTTAGGCTTAGTAGAGGGTAGGGACAACACTGTCATTCTCTTTGTGTTTTTCAAACCACCGCCATATACACATGTTGAAGGGCTAATGACAAGCCCACCTTGATTTGTGAAGCACGGTGTGAACCCTGGTTGAAGGGCCACAGCGCCGCACAGCAGGCAGGGTGGCAGCAGAGTGAGACTGCCGTCCCCACGGCACAGGGGAGGAGGCTGAGGCTCACAGGGGCTGTTTGGCTAATACGAGCTCATACAACTACCCGGGAGCAAAGCTGGAGCGCCTGGTTCTTTTATCTACCACTTTCTAGTCACAAGCACAGTGACTTTACAAAAAACGACCCTGGCAGGTGCCACAGCGTGCACCCATGCTGCTCTGGGGCAGGCGCCGTGACCCCTAACTGATCCCCGTATGCCCAGCACAGGCCTGGGACGTTGAAGGTGACCCATTCACGTGCTGCAGAAAAGAATGAATGAGCGAACCACCCAATAGTTTACCTGTGGATTTCCTGAACACTTAGACTCTGTGGTTAAAGCCCTGTGACCACGCACCCCTTCTGGGGAAACCCCTCCTTCCTGCTTCTCTCCTCTGCTCCCTCCCTCCCTTTCCCTAAACACTTCAGTATGTAAGTCCTAAAAACAAGGAACTCTTACATAACCACAGTATAACGGCTGCAGTCAGAAAATTAACACTGAAACAATACCATATCTAATCTACAGGTGTTACTGAGATACTCTCTGTCATCTCAACAATGCCATTATAGCAAAAGAGACCCCAAGGTCGTGTCTGGCATTCAGTTTCCATGTCTCTCTCGTCTCCAGTTACTCTGTGCCCCGGTGGGCTGGTCTGATGCTTCCTCAAGACTAGGTTTGGGCGCCGCAGGTCTGGCAGGAACAGGACCAGCTGACACTGAGTTCCTGTCCGTGCGACCCGTCGTCAGGAGGCACCTGCTGGGATCGCCTGGTTATGGTGGCATCTGCCAGGTTCTCCAATGCAGTTACTGTTTTGCCTCTTGTAATGAAAAAGTATTTTGTGGGGATGTACTTTGAGGCTACATAAATGTCCTCTTACTCTTCAAGCTTGAATATCTTGGTTTTAACATCCATGAATGATTCTTGCCTGGAGCTGGTTATTAGGATAGTTGGTAAGCAGTGATTTTTTTAGATTTTTTTTCCCCTTTTTTAGTTAAATGGAAGAGAATGACCTAATCCATGGGCGTGTTCTGAGGTTTAGCTGGGAAAGCAAATTATCTGCCAGGCTAGGAATCAGAAATAGAGAGTTGGGGAGCTAGGGGCCGGGGACTAGAAAATCAGAAGGAATGTTAACAGGGAGGGGAGAAAGCATTTGAATGGAAGGGCCAGGAAAACTAGAGGTGGTGTTTAGGAAAGGACGGAAGGGGGAGAATGAAAAGAAATTATGGACAGGGAGAGGGTTTTTTCTTGATTTCTTTTAATATAAATATAATTATAGAAGTACATGCCCAATGAAAACAATCAGAAAATAGAAACAAATGATCACTTAGAATTCTGCTTAGCCCAACCATTCTTAACATTTGATATATGTACCATATTTTGCCATGTATAATGTGCATTTTTTTTCCCCAAATTCTTGAGGGAAAAATAAGGATGCACATTATGCATGGGTAGTATCTGAAATACCTTGTATCTGTTCCCATGTTTTTAATTACTTGTTACATAAAATTTCTTGTACCATAATATTTCAAAAATAAATGGTAAAATTCCTTTATAATACAGAAAACAAGACTCTAAATATAAATAAATAAATAATTGAATTAAAAGTTTAAAATGAGAGATTTTTTTTCCCCCCTGAAAGTTTGGGCCCAAAACATGGGTGCACATTATACATGGGAGTGCATTATACATGGCAAAATATGATCTATCCTTCCAGACTTTTTCTCTCTGCGTGTATATATGCACATATGTGTGTAAGCAGACGACACTCCACATATAATTTGGGGGACCTGTTTTTTTCACCTGGTATATTTGCAGATGTTTTTCCACGTCAACTGTAATTATCTGTCATTTTAAATAACTGCATAATATTCCACTGCATGGATGTACCATGATCCCAAAACTCCCTGCTGGCGGACACTTGGCTCCAGGGCTGCCAGGATGCCCTTGTACGGCTTCAGTCCTTAGATAAGTTCCAATTCGTGGTATTGCTGAGTCAAAGGGAAAGCACATTTTTAAAGGCTTTCCCCACATGTTGCCACTGCCCACCATGTACTGCAGTCTCCCGGGTGACAGGTGCTGGGCTGAGAGATTGACACACAGGCTTTACCCGCATCTCTCCAGAAAAGGAAACAGCCTTGGAGAGGCGAAGGACCTTACGCACGTGCACTCTGACCCCTATGAACAGGTTACACCCCCACAGGAAGGGAAGCTCTGGGCAGGTAGCTGGAACTCTTCAGACAATCAAGGGCTCGGTGAGGCGGTGACAATGACTTCTCAGTCCATGAGACACCCCAACCTTGGATCCCCCACACTTCTTCAGGGGTCAGTTAGGGATTCTAAACCAGGAGTCAAGATGCCTGTGCCGCTCCTGGCTCGGCCACCACCTGATCTGGACGGTGAGGGAAAGTTCCAGCCAGAAGAGACTGGCTCAACAAGCAGTGCTCAGGGCGTCCCTGGGCAGGGCACCGCCTGTGCAGGGCTGAACCCACCCTGCCGGGGCCTGGCAGTCGGCTGGTGGTGATTCCCAGATCTGAGCTGTGGAAGCCCCCCTCCCCTGTCCCCTTCCACTCTCTCTCACACGCAAAATCTTACTAGAAGCCCGTTACAGAAAATGGAGAAGCTGAGCCGGTGGGTGGTCGGAGAAGGGTGCCGGTGCCCTCACAGCTGCCTGCTCAGCATGCCTCCTGCCCGACCCCCAGGTCCAAATGGCAAGCCTGAGGGGACAGAGCTGCGCCCTTATCACTTCTCAGAGCAGGAAAGCGAGGCCGAGGGCAGAGCGGGACCTATAAGTTAGTGGTAAACAAGTGTCTCCTCTGAGCCTGTGCCCTGCTCTGGAAAAGAGTTTAGAAATCATCTAGAATTCTGGTTTCAGGCAAAGATTAATTTTTCATCCAGAGGCGGCCTCCTCTCAACTTTCAGGGAGTAGTTTTGCTATTTATTTTAGAATTTGTGCACCCATGGATTTAAAGTAAAAGGTACAGTATGCAGGTCAATACATAAGATTTCATGCCACATAAGTTATCACAAAGTGAAAATACACAATGGGGTCCTTGTCATTCCACAAGGCCATAAAAATGATGACCTGAGCATGGACAAGCTCTAAAATCTCCCTGAAGATAAGCATCATGAAATTGATTATAAATACTGAATAGACCAAAGATAAGTGAGCTGTATTAAATAAGAAAATAGAACTATTTTTAAAATAATCTTGAATCACTTTCTAGATTTTCTATCAATATACAGTCTTTGGATGGTCATTATTGGGGAAGATCAAAAGAATCAAGGAGGGAAAATCATTCAGAGTTAGTTGTCAAAAACTCATTCTGATCCTTCTCCAAAGCAGACTGGGGTGGGATGTACACAAACCCTCCAACACCTGGATGGAAGGAAAACATCTCCAGTCACATCACCTCGCTACATTTGCCACAGATTTTTGAATTTCCTTAAAACCGTACATTAGCCACACTAAAAAACAAACAAACAACCCCCCCCCCAAAACACAAAACACCTACCCTGAATTCCCTAATGAAAAGCTGGAAGGATTAAGCGATGGTACAGCATTTAAGATGGAATCTGTGGAGAATACCGGCTATTTTTAAATGCTGATATTAAAAAGAGCTGTACATGACATGGGCAGCTCTTCAATCCATTGTGTTAAATTAAAACTAGGCTCCAACTCTATACCTAGTACAGTCCCAAGTATGTGTATAAATGTATACAGAAATGCACAAACATAAGCTATGAAATACATCAAAATACTAAAAGTGGCAGCCCTGGGCAGTGCCGTTATGGATGGCCTGCTTTCTTCTATATTTCTAAATTTGCCACAGGGCATTAGTTTATTACCATGTATTTTAGAGTCATTGCATTGGCTGGCTTGTGCGCATCATGAATGCAGAACAAGAGGCAGGGAGAGGAAATGAAAGGCAGGTTTGCGTTCTGCTGCCTCGGATGGACGCTGCGGGCAGCACATTGAAGAACAGCTGGGAGAAGGAGTGCTCTGCAGCGAAACTCACTTTTACGACCTCAGTACACACAGTGCATTTCCTTTAGAATATGGAAAAAGTGAATCAACACATTTGCTTCAAACTAATCCAGAAATTTGGTTTTCCTACATTTCTGCCTACACCAGACAATCAGAATCACCCAGAGCTCCAGCCATAAAGATTGTCCAAAAACAAAGAAAGAAACGAACAAGCAAATAAATGGAGCCACTTTAAAAATGGGCTGGAGCTGCCATCCCAGAAGACCTGCTTTGCATGTCTTATGTCTCAAAGCTCTGGGCTGTCAAAGCGGGGCAAAATAACCTTTAGACTGGGCCTGAAGCAACACTGTGCCCCAAAGAACTGTTTGCAAAGATAACAAGCAGTTATTAAAGACTACTGGACTGATGACAACCAGACTGAAAATTAAAATCATTGTCTAGAATTAACATCACTGTGTTGCTGCATCAATGCAAATGTCTTCCTCCTACTGACATAATTGTTCCCCTCCCCTTTCTCCTAAGTACCCATTGCCTTTGTCTCTTAATTGGAACATTATTTGGGCTCCTGCCTAAATCATTGCTTCCCGAATAGCTATTCTTATTGATCTCAAATAAATGCTTGTTGCCTCTCACTTTGAAGGCCTTTTTATTTTTAGGTTAACAAGCCTTTGAGAATAAAACCTTTCATAAAGCTACAGTTAGAACAGACAGAAAAGTGAATAGCATCTGATGATAAATCCTGTAATTTGCCCAAATTTCCTCTGGGTTTGTACTTACAGAAATTACATAAATCTTCTTTGAGCTGCTTCCTAGACAGTATTAGAATCTTCTCCAGAGGAACTGGGGGGGTCTGGATGGAGCCCCCACACAACCCCACAAGGCTGCCGCCCACGTTGACTGAAATGGACCCAGCACCTGTCCCGCTCTGCTGCTTCTAGTCTGTCTTCTAGATCATTCATCAGTTTAATTTCAAGTTAAGGACTCTTTACACTTGAACACTCTCCTTTTGTTCTTGATCCCAACTCCCATTCCACTACTTATTTTTTATTGTAAAAGCAGTAAATTCACAGATGGGTGTAAAGTGAGAAGTACCTCTACTTCCCCACTCCCCTGGACCCCTCTCTAGAGATGAGTTTCTCGTGTGCCCTGCCACAGAGTTAATGCACATACAAGCACCTCTTGATTAAGCTAAAGAGACCATGTTACATATACTGTTCTGCACTTTGCTTCCCATTCCCAATATTGACAACTTCTCTCTGTCTTTCTCTCCCCCAAAACACATACGCGTGCACGCATACACACACACACACACACACACACGAATTTACTTTTTTTCCTTTTAATATAAGTCTCAGATTTCAGCCTGGCCTGGTGAGCGGGAGAGCTGGACGAGGGGCCTGAGCCCTGGTGCCTGCTCCCCACTCTTCCTGAGAGGAGCTGCAGAGCCTTCGGGAAATCCCCTGGGTTCCAGTCTCACAGAGAAAGGGATGGAGTTGTTGGGAGAAGACAACTTTTCATGCCTGAAGACAAAAAGGTTGAAGCAGGCAATCCCTCTAAGTGTAAGAGCTGTGTGACAGGCCTTCCAAAGAGGTCCACCTCCTAGTTCCGGGACCCTGTGAATATGTGACCTTATATGGCAAAAGGGCCTCTGCAGACATGAGAAAATTAAGTCTCTTGAAATGGAACAATTACCCTGGATTATAGAGGTGGGCCATGTGTAACCGCAGGGTCCTCATCAGAGCGGGGATCAGAGTCAAAGGAGGAGATGCGATGACAGCAATGAGTCTGGAGTGATGTGTGATGTGGGTCCACACGCCAAGAAATGCAGTTGGTCTCTAGAAGCTGGAAAAGGGATGCAGTCCTAGAGCCTCCGGAAGGGATGCAGCCCCACCGCCCGTTTTAGACTTCTGACCTCCAGAGCTGCAACGGGATAAATTTATGTGGCTTTAAGCCACTATGTGGAAATGTGTTCAGTAGCAATAAGAAACTAATACAAGCTGTAGTGACCTCCTCATGATTCTAAAATGCCTTAGTCTCAAGCAAGGAAGCACTTCCCAATGGTAGAAGGCAAGCGGGAGGGATGAGAAGCATCCAGCACAGGAAAACTCCGGAGGAATAACAAGAAAGGCAGGGACAGCGGCAGGGGCCTCAGGCTGTGGAGTTTGATGTGGGCTGGCTTCCCCTTAGACCACCCACATAAGCCACTTCCTGTGTAATGTTGGCTGAGGGTCTGACTTGGAGATCAGGGCCCAACAGAATGGACGCTGTCTGAGGGTCAAAGAGATGAGAGGCAAAGATATTAGGTCTGGAATCAGGAAAAGTTCACTTTTCCTCTAAGTTTATGTTCTACAATTTTGTTGTGTTGGTTTTTTGTTTTTGTTTTTGTTTTTTTGAGAGAGGGAGGGAGGGAGAGAGGGAGAAAGAGAGGGAGAGAAACATCAGTGTGTGAGAGATACATCAATCTGTTGCCTCTTGCACACCCCCAACTGAGGACCTGGCCTGCAAACCAGGCATGTGCCGTAACTGGGAAAAGACCCAGTGACCTTTCAGTGCTCAGTCCATGGAGATGCACCAGCCAGGGCTTGTGCTGACTTTTTAAAGCCAAGAATCAGGGCAAGTCAGAACTAACAGAAGGCTGACCAACCATCCTGGTGCGCCCAGGACTGAAGGGGTTCCAGGGACCTAGGACTTTATATTTTACAACTGAGAGTCCCAAGCAAACAGGATGACTTGGTCACTTTAAGTTTATGGCCTAAGAGGTGTCCCCAGCTAGGGTAAGCGTCACAGGGCCATCTATATAAGTTATATAAAAAGTACAAGAAAGGGATGAGAGACTGGACAAGGGAAGAGCCCAGTGATCCTTTATCATGAAGAGCTCCCTGGGGAGAGCCTGTGATCAGACGAGAAAGAGCAGTTCTGATTGCTAACAAGACCCCAGGGGGCTACGATGGAGTGAGGGGCCAGCATGTTAAGAGGGTCACCTGGTGAACCCTGAAGACACCAGGTAGGGGCAGGGCTTAAGGTCAAGAGGAAGGCTCAAGCCATGTGCCAAAGTCCTTAAGAAATGAGAGCGCCTGCCCTGGCTGGTGTGGCTCAGTGGATTGAGCGTTGGCCTGTGAACCAAAGGGTCGCCAGTTCGATTCCCAGTCAGGGCACATGCCTGGGTTGCAGTCCAGGTCCCCAGCAGGGGGCACGCAAAATGCAACCACAGGATGCTTCTCTCCCTCTCTTCCCCTCTCTAAAAATAAATAAGTAAAATCTTTAAAAAAAGAAAAAGAAACGAGAGTGTGTTGCTGGGAGGTCAGGAGACGCAGTGTGGGGCAGTGTGGGGGAGGAGAAGAGGGTGGACGGTGGAACGACAGCAGCCTGAAGGAGCCAGGGTTTTATACAGGAGGAAGGAAGTGGCCTGGAAGCTGCAGGGGGCGTGAAGGGAAGCATGACCATGACCTCCGGTCTTTTCAAATGAATAGTTCTGATTTACAGACAGGTGAGGATAGAGCCTTCCACTGCACCAAATTTGGTCCAGACCTCTGAAGGCATTGCCTTCTTGGCAGGACAGGGGGTCCCTGTTCTAAAGCTGCACCTTGACTTGATTATCTCTCTGCCTTAAGGTAACTTACACACTCACAGAAAAGGCTGACAACCCCAGGGGGCAGCCTGCACTGGTGAGAGAGTTTCCGGAGAACCCCTCTGCGCTGAGCACAAAGGTTGGGCAGAGAAGCGGAAGGGAGGCTGGCTGGAGCTCTGCCTGCCTGCACTCAGGTCCTGATCCTGCCACGTTTTAGCTGGGGACTTTCCACAAGTCCTTTCTCCTCTGTGTGCCTCAGTTTCCTCATCTGTAAAATGGAGAAATCAGATCTACCTCAGACAATACCAGGCTCACAGCGTGGTCATTATCATCTGCAGAGTGTAGGAATCTGCAGAGGGAAATGGGGAAAACTCTGCCCCATGCCTCCCAATATCCATGCCTGGATTCTCCCCTGATGACAGAAACCCAGCTCTGTCTAAGGACGGAAATGTGCTCAGTTCAGTTCTCGCTTGCCCAGCCTCCCTTGCAGCGGTTATGTGACTTGGCCAGTGAAGTGCAACCAAAAATCTGTTGGGAAGAAAGAAAATTTGAGGAAAAACTTTTGCTTTCCTGGTGAAAAGGAGAAACAGAGGCTGGTAACCACATTCCCCCCATCTTCCTGTCCAGGATACAGGGGTGATGTTTGGAGCTGTGGCAGCGATATTACAGTCGTGGGGCAAATGCCAGTGCTCTCAGGGTGGTGAAGAAAGACAGGAGCGTGGATCCCTGATGGTGCATGGGGCAGCGGAACCAAAGCTGGCGACTGCCTACTCTTATTCTTGTTATCAAAGGAAAATAACTCCCAATTCGCTTAACTACTTTATGAGGGGTTTATAGGTAATTGTAGCTGGATATGTTTTTAGACGATACAAGGGCTTAGTGTGACTCCTATTTAAAGGAGGTCCCTACAAAAGCACAGCACACTCTAGATTCAGGTCACCTGCTTCTATCAAGCAATTTTCAAAGAAAGGAATCAGGTGCTAAAGGACCTAGCCCAGACCCAGTCTTTCTTTTCCAAATGGAATTTAAAGAAGATGGTACCGAATAGGAATGGCAGAAGCACCATGTATAGGTGTGCGTGAGGGCCCCAAGGAGTCATCTTGCTCAGCGAAGTGGAGCTGTAACTCTTAGAGCTGAAAAGTCGCTTTATCTAAAGCGACTTCCCCAGGCTTGGCCCTGGGCCCAAACGGCTGAGGACGAACCGTACAACACAGCAAAGGGAAGCCGATCTTGCCAAGAGTCATCTCACCTAGCTACTTAATTACTCACTCAAAAAAAAAAAAAAAAAAAAAAATCACAGAACCAGTTCAAAATTATAGTAGTGGTCAATAATGTTAAGATTACTATTGCTCTTTTACGCCAATCATATCGCATCCATTAAAACAGCCTCAAATGAACTAAATGGTTGGACTTGGTAAGCTCTTCTACTTCCCTTCCCCCATCCGGCTCTCCCCCCGCCGCTAGGAGACCGGGTAGAATGGAAAAATGAGCTTTTAAATCAGAGTCTGGTTCCGTGTAAAAGCAAAATTGAGAAAAGACACAACAGTGATGGAGGAGGCGAAATATTTAAAAAAACAAAACAGTAGTTTACCCTAGGCCGCGCCCCCACGAGCTCGCCGGGGTAGCCACCACTGACAGCACCCTCTACCGCGCTCCGCACGGGAAGGGCAGGAATGCGATCAGTTTGCATCTTTCTGGCAGGTGACAATGGTAAATGGTCCCACGATCCTTCGTCGGGAGGCCAGCAGTCAAGGCGACCACAAGTCGCCTCGGCCCAGAGGCAGGCGAGGGCTCTGCAAGGTGCCAGGAGCCTCCAAGGGCCGCCCAGCTCCGGCCGGACATCCGCGTCCCCGGGGGCTCGCGGCCACTCCCCGCGCCTCACCTGGCGTCCTGACGCCCGAGACGCCCGGGACTCCCAGGACGCCCGGGGACAGCATCCCGCCCCGGGGCCAGGCCGCCAGCACCCTCCTCCCGGACACCCGGTGTCTTTCCGAGGCCCGCCTCCCAGTGCGCAGCCCCCACCCGGGCCCGCACTCACGCTCCACGTCGTGCAGCTTGGCCCGCTCCTCCTCCAGTTTGCCCTTGAGGCTTTCGGCCTCGTTTTTCAACGACGCCAGCGTCTCGTTCTCGTGCAGCCCGTCCGTGGCCATCTTCGTGCAGGGAAGAGGCAGGGAGGGAAGCAGAGAACCGGGATGCGGGTGAGCTGCCGGAGGAGGCCCCAGCGGCCGCGGGCGCAGCTCCAGCCGCCGTCTCCCCCACGCGCGGCCCCGCCCTCCGGCGCTGACGCCGGCGGCTGCGAGCTGGGCTGCGGCGGTCGACCCCCCTCCCCGCCGGCCTCTCCCAAGGGCACAGCGCCCCCTCCGCGCCCCTGCCCCGCACCTGCCGCGCGCTCCCTGACTCAGAGACCCGGGACCGGCGCCATTTAGCGCTACTGTGCTTTCAGCCCGTGGGAAGGAGGGAGTGTGGATCCCATTTTACCGATGGGAAAACCGAGACTCGGGGATGATACAGAACTTGGTAGAGGACCAGCACGTAGTGAGGGCCAAGGCGGGATTCCCAGTCAGGACGGCCCGGCCCCTGGGAGTCTGATGAACTCCCAGGGACACTGCCCTCCCTCCCGCGCCCGCCTCCCTCCATCCCCGCACAGATCTCCCTTCACTGGGACTTGAGGGCTCTACTGGCAGAAACCGGAGAGGAGAGGACCACAGCGGACCGGAAACTGTCCTCGTTTGTTGACTTAAATGTGTGTGTACACACACACATACATTCTGGCTTCTGAGAAGCCCTGGGGTCTTAGCACCCCCGTTGCTCGTTTTGCTTTTCCTTTCATTACTCGGGATCGGGAAGTAAGTCCGAAGGAAGGGTGGGGGCGTGACACACTGGGGCCTAGACTCGGGGCTTCCGAGCCGGTGCCCACTGTCCTGAGACCAGTCCCTTCGGAGGCAGCGTCCTCCACTTTAGAATGAAGGGTCTCTGCAGTTCTCTCAAGGACGCATGCATCCCCCCTTTCCAGTCCCCTGCAGTGCTTTGCATTGATAACTCACAACAGTCACCCTGAATGGGTACTATCATCATTCCCATTTTACAAAAGAGAAAAGAGACACAGAAAGATTAAATGATTTGCTCGGTCCACACTCCCTGAAAGAGGCAAAGGCAAGAGTTGGACCCAGTCAGTCTGGCTCCATTCAGTTACATGCCTCAGGACTCCCGTGTGGAGGGCCCAACCTGTGCTTCTTCCTCTTTTCCCTCTCCATGAACTTGCATGTGTGTGTTTGTGTAAAGACTGGAAAGGCAGGTCAAAGTTACAAACTCTAACCAGGGGAATCTGGGTGGCAACCCCAACCTCTTTGTATGCCCTCCCTTCCTGAGGATCCAGCCTTGACTTGCTATCCTGAGTCTTCTCTAAGAGAAAACGGAAGTAATCAATATTAATATGATTATTAATATTACTATATTGGTGTTCAGTTAATGTTAGTTTATAAACGGATGTATAAAACAATATATACATATATAAAACATGGAATTAAAAATAAAATAAATTGAGTATATAAAATACATACATGTTTTAGATACATTCAACTATTTATAGATCTGTCTCAGAGTTGGCAGAGCAAAAGGTTAAGAGCATAGGCTCTCTCTAGATCAGAGTGTCCGAAGGACAAACCCTGGCCGTGCTGTGTGGCCCTGGATGATTTATTTAATTTCTCTGTCTCAGGCTCACCTCCTGTAAGTGGGGATGATACCTTCCTCAGGGTCCTCGTCAGGAGTGACTATGTAGCAGGGGTATCCAACATTTTGGCCTCTCTGCACCACACCGGAGCATTGTCTTGGGTCACACATTAAATACATTGTGACACATCATCCCCCCAAAATCTCATAATGTTTCAAATAAATTTATGACCTTGTGTCAGAGTGCATCACAGTCATCCTGGGCTGCATGTGGCCCGTGAGCCACGGGTTGGACACCCCTGAGAGCATTTGGAGCAGTGTGTGGCACGCAGCATGGGCTTGCTATTATTACTGAGGCTGCCTGATACACTCGAGCAATTCATGTGAAGTAATGGGAATGAGGAGATGCTAGGCGATGGGACACTTCTCACAGGGTCACCTTAGCAGGTCTGGATGCAGCGTCCTCCCATCGCCTCCTCAGTCTGACACCTCCGGGACCAACGTGGAACATACGAGGTTGCCAGTCTGGGAAGACCTGCGGTGAGTGGTGCTGCACATTTGTGTGCGCTCTCCTCGGGAGGTTCTGTGTGTAAAAGAAATCCCAAACATCTGCCAATCTGGAAAGTCTACCATTTAGAGATAAAGCCATGTAACTTTTGAATAGCTGGAAAAGTGCTCGCCTGTACTTCGGTGCTCACTCCTTTTTTTTCAGCGAGGAGTGTGGAGATCTGCTACATTTTAGCGGTCGGGGAGACACGGGGTTGCCCCGAGACATGAAATGGTCCACCAGAGGCTCTTGTCTACACAATCCCAAACACCTGGACGAATGGTCAGTCATTTGGATGTCTCCTCAGCCAAAGCACCTGTCTGAATATTCGGGAACCCCCACAGGCTTGTGACAGAGATAGGTGGCGGCAGCAGCCTGAAGACTATCTCCAGGCAGGGCCTCCGACCTGGGAAGAATCTATGATTCTTCTGGCATCTGGGATTCTGGGCTCTTTCTGTCCACAGAGGAAGTTGTTTAAAAAACAGAAGAGCTAGATTAATAAATAGCACTGCTCCAGGGTGGCAGGGCAGCCACCAGAAAGCAGGCTTATTTTCAGAAATGCACGTCCTTAGTTTGACAATTTGCAGAGCCAAGGTTGGAACACAGTGTGCCGCAGGTAGCAGCCCATTACACTGAGCCTTTCCTCTGACATCAGGATTCCTATCCTGTGTGCCGCCCTGGGCTGTTTACTTGCCATTTACTTTATGCCAATAATCATTAGTTAGGCAAAAGGTAAAAGTCATCTCTCCTCTCTTTGATATAGAGTTTTTTAAAATGTGTTAATAATTGAGGAATTCACCCTGGCTGATGTGGCTCAGTGGATTGAGCACCGGCCTGCAAATCAAAAGGTCATGGGTTCAATTCCCAGTTTAGGGCAAATGCTTGGGCTGCCAGCCAGGTCCTCAGTTGATGTCTCCCTCTCTTTCTTCCTCCCTTCCCCTCTCTCTAAAAGTAAATAAATAAAGTCCAAAATAGTAATAATAAATAGTAAAATAACAATAATAAAATAATCGAGGATTTTCTATTAGGCTTTTGGAGAAGAGTGCTTTACCACTTTTGACCACATGGGGGCTGGGTTCAGCCACACTACGGAGGAGAGCTTTGCAAATCCTCTCAGACAGGACCAGCTCCTAGGGCTTCAGCTACGCTTGGACACGTTTTTGCTGCAAGATCTGAATATAGGTCTTCCATAATTAAAGATGTCTATGGAAGACCTGTGCATAGTCACCTCTGATGAGGATGGATTTGCATACTTGAAAAGTATCAGGATTTGTGTTCAGTCCTCAGCGCTCACTGAGTACTTAGGTTCAAGGAACACTTTCCTGGGGCTTAATTTTGCTCATTACCGAGGCCCTACGTGGTTCAGTCTTCAACAGAGCTGTTCCTAGGGCAGCTGGCACAGGGCCTTTGCAAAGGTGCTCCTAGCTGTTTGTTTGCCAGTGTCCCTTTTAGCTTGGTTGCTTGCCAAGAAGACTAATAGAAGACAAAGGAAAAAGCATTAGCTCTAAAAAATTAAAAAATGCCCTGACTGGTGTAGCTCAGTGGATTGAGCACCAGCCTTTGAACCAAAGGGTGACGAGTTCGATTCCTAGTTAGGGCACATGCCTGGGTTGCAGGCCAGGTCTCCAGTAGGGGGTGTGCAAGAGGCAACCGCACAGTGATGTTTCTCTCCCTCTCTTTCTCCCTCCCTTCTCTTCAGTCTAAAAATAAATAAATAAATAAATAAATAAATAAATAAATAAATAATCTTTAAAAAAATACTAGCTAAAACATTCTTTGGGCATTTCCTGTGCTCAGTACTGTTTTAAACACTTTATCAAATGAACTCATTTGATTCTCACAAAGCCCTGTGAGATGGATGGTATTATTCCTATTTTACAGATGGTACACAACTACCAAAGAACAGAACTAGGGCTTGAACCTGGGGAGTCAGAGGCCAGAGCCCACACCCTAACCCCCTAACCCCCGATGCTATACTGCCTTACCCAGCCTGGCTGTGCTGACGATGTTTGTGCGTGTACACTGATTCTATGGCACCTTATCTGTCACAGGACCTTCATATTAGAAATTGCTTTCAGAATGGTAACTACTCAAATTTTTAAAAAGTTACACTTACAATTTCTGCACATGTTGAACAGTAGCTGAGCTGTTGAGATTTCTTGAAAACTGGTCTCAGAGCCCTTTGTTTGAAACATTTGTCACAGGAGCCAAATACATTAACTAGAAAGGTCTGATCACACATCTTTAACCTAAGATAATGCTGAAAGAGAGATAGAGAGAAAAGGGATGTAAGTGTATGAGAAAAGCCAACAGAAAAAGCATTTTTAAACCTCACCTTCCTTTTATCATGGTAGTTGTCCAGACCTCTACATGTGGGATAAAGTATCTGCAGTTAATCTGTAACCTTTGATTTATTACTACATGCTGGGTCAACACCAACTCGTTTATTTAATCAGTAAGAAAGCATCAGACAATAGGTTTTCTGAATTTATGTTTAACTGGTTATTTTGGCAGCTTGCAGACATGGACACAATTGATTTTTGTGGCACACTATTTCTTTAAAATTGATTTTAGAGAGAGAGGAAGGGAGGGAGGGAGGGGGGTGCAGAGAGAGAGATCTGCTGTTCCACTTACATGTGCATCCGTTGGTTGGTTGCTGCCTGTGCCCTGACTGGGTACTGTCCCGTCTATCTGCAACCTTGGCCTATCCAGATGACACTCTGACTGACCGAGCGACCTGGCCAGGGCCTGCAGCACAATATTAACTCTGCAGGGCTTCAAAATGGAAACTATGGTTGTAATGAATAGTATAATTTGAAACTTAAAAAGAAAAAACTCCCTTCAGGGTAAACTTTTGGAGGAAAGGCAAGAGTCTGAAAATGGCAGAGCCTGACCCCAACCAATGCCATGAGGCTGAGGACATGTGGGGTTGGTTCCCTGCCGGGAATGCAGCATCCCACTTACTAAGCTTGTGGCAGTCACAGACCCAGGATTCCTGCCTGTGCACCCAGGAGT